GATGAGGTGTGACTAAAAATTAACATGTTGTGACTAGACTTGAGTTGCTGATCATGAGTCTCTGACAAAGCTGTTTTAAAACAGCATACCGTCCTCTGGCAAGAGTCAAACTGCTTTAAGCTCCAAAATACAGGCGTTTTGTCTGCAGATCAGTTTGGCACCCTGGGTATAAAAGCACGTTTTCTCCTTTAAAGCTGCACTAATGACTCAGCTCTTCAGATTCACAGGTGCATTATACAGAAACTACCTGCTCTACAACCTTAAGACCCCCCATGAGGATTGACTTTCCCACCAACTCAATCCTAGTGTCTATCTGTAACATTTTCTTTCTAAGACTTTTTGTCTCACAAAAAGTTTTCATGCATTTTCTGTGCCTCTGATTGACAATCTTCTCTACAAAGGGAGATTGTTGAAAGGAGATTTTTTTGGGGAAAAAAGTTGTCAGAGAGGAGGACAAAAGTTTTCTAACTCATCTTTTTATGAATGAAAAGATTTAAAAGCAGACACTTTTGTTAAAAAGGTAGTAATACATACACAGAACATATTTTGGGGCTTTCAATTAAAGAGTCAGTCTTTTAACCTTCAATGCTTGTTGTGCAGACATGTTTAAAAGTTTACGAGCCATCTATAATTGCACTACAGTGTTTTACACGCAAAGAAGCTTTCTTCCACTAATAATTTCTGTGAGTCAAGAAAAGAAAGTGTGGTCCAGACCTGCTCTTTTGGAAAGCGGCACGGGCTAAAGACTGATGTGAATTTGTGCTATATAAATAAAATCAATAAAAAATTGAAATTGGTTGTTTTTCTGGCCTGTCTCACCTGATGATTTGGTAGATTCTATTTTATCAGGAAAAGGCTTTTTGGAAATAAACATGTACACTAAAACTTCAAGACTTTATTGCAGCCTATGAATCCTTAGATAAAATTATCCACTGTTAATTGAAGGTTCACTCAGCAGAGTCTCTAGGGAACATCTCTTTGAGTTGGCCTGTGAACATAATTAAAGCTTTAATCTCTGCTCTTGGCTAACAAGTTGTGATTTGGTCCTGTGGGTTTTTTCTGTACAACCCCGTGACCTGGGAATCTAATCACATAGTTGTTGAGTCATGTTCAATCTAAGGCAGCTTTTTCCAGAGTGAATATGATAGGACTGAATGGTTCATAAAAGATAAATTAATCTGATTCCTCTTTAAATATATTATGGTGTATAAGTATTGACTGTACAGAGTTCAGCATGTAATATTATGTGAATATTATGTGATTATGTAATGATTTCTCCTTTTTCAAATTAAAATTTCTCGCTGAAAAAAAAAGAAGTTAAATTTGTTTGGATTGCTTTTTTGCAACTCCAGATTTTTTAGTCACCTGGGGGCAGCAATGATCAGCAGTCATGTTTTAGATGACATGCTAAAGAAATTGACTAGCTATTTTATGTACCAAGCAGTTATGGGGCAATGTTCAAATTGATTTTAAGAAGTGTTACACCCAGTTGATGGATCTCAGATTGCTTCATGATGCCCATCAGCAGTTTTGGGCTTATTTATTCAAAGTCTGGCCTTGTAAATAACTTACTTAAAAAATCTATTTGGGATCATAGTAGGGATGGGGAGGGTCCCAGCACTACTGTCACCTTGATGAAATTTTATGAAAGTAAAAGTGAAACTCCCACTTTGTGAATCAATTAGAAATACTAAGTACATTCAAAATGTACTTAAAGCTCCAATAAGGAATTTCTAGCTGTTTATGAGACAGTTTGAAATAAGCATCTATTGTTCTTAATAACTAATACAACTTATTCAAAAATTAAGAAGTTGAGCACACAACCATCCAAAAAACCCTCAAATCTTGGTCTGCAGTACAAGTTGTACAGTACATTTGTTTCCGTGTGAGGTTTTAAATACTGGCTGGATTATCCCACCTGTGTCCCACCATGACTGTATGACCTTGTCAGACCTGACCTGTGTCTCTTTGATCAGAGCAGCTGACGCAAGAGTCCTTTAAACCAGCCGACAAAGCTGTACCTCTTATATCTTTGCCAATTTCGCCTTCTATCTATCTATCTATCTATCTATCTATCTATCTATCTATCTATCTATCTATCTATCTATCTATCTATCTATCTATCTATCTATCTATCTATCTATCTATCTATCTATCTATCTATCTATCTATACATACATACATACATACATATAGGTGTGTGTGTGTGTCTGTGTGTATTTATGTATGTATGTATGAAAATCTACTTCCATTTTGTTTGATTTAATTATCAAACTGGAACAAAGAAAATCCCATGAAAAATACAGTATCTATAAGACAATCTTTCAGTTGTTGTTGTGTTGATGTTCCTTTAATAGTCCCACGGAGGGAAATTCCAAATTTACAGCAGCATACAGTCATACAAAGAGAAATGAAAGTATAAAGCGACTTAAAATTAGGTTACGAAATAAGATAAAAGATATGAACATGAGTCAAATTTATCATTTCCATGTCAGTGTTTTTTTGTAATCAGTTCACTAGTAGGAAAAGTCATCTGGTGTGGATTGATTGGACACATACACATACAAAGGTGGTCAGGGCCACTAAGACTGTAAATAACCACTATAAAGAGACTGTGGGAATACACACCCCAGAAAAGGGTCTCAGGTGGACAGTTGACCCACTGATGGCCGTCAGGGTCAGAGGTCAGTGACCTTCCTGTAGACAGGCAACAACAGACACATCCTAACAGCCATGGTTTGTGTCAGCTGGCACTAATGAATTGCTTAGCTCTAAAACCATGTTAATGGCAGAGGTCATTCCAAATTAGAAACAGCTATTACATCACCAGACTTTGACTAGAGTAACTCCATCACAAATTGTATTGAAAAATATAACTATCTCTAAACCCTCTTTCAATGGACTTTAGAAAGACATAGAGGAAAATAAAGACACTTAGAGAGTCAGTGGGAGTCCTTATTCTCACGAGTCTTTAGACATGTTACAATCCACATTCCTGGCTGACTTGGACATGGAAACCGGAATTTGAGGACCTTTGAATCAGGTGAGTGGTCTTAACTGCAGCTAAATCGAGGCTATTTTAGGTCAGTTCAACAGCATAATGTGTCAGTTGTTTCCTCTTGGTCTAAGAATGAGAGAGAGAGAGGAAGCAAGGTTTAATTTTCAGTACAATCCTTGACATCTTATATAACACATTAAATTCACACTCATCCAGGAGCGATTTGCTAAAAACTGATGGTTATTGCTGCAATGTGTTTTTTATGCAGCTGATGCTCTTTGTGTACAGTAAATAAGAGATTATCATCGTCCAGATTTTACAAAGATTTATCTGTTTTCATGTTGCTGACTCCTGTCTGGCTGAGGTCTTTTCATTTGACCAATTTGTCATGGTTTCATATAAGCGAAGAGAGCATTTAATGTCCACCTGACACAAGTCCTAGGACTCAAACTGAGGACCACACTGCTCATGGCAAGCTGTCCTTATTTGATCCTTTGCTTTCATGACTGTGTTTGCCTATTCATGAATTTTCATTTGCCTATTTGGTAACAGTTGTTAAAAAACACAGCTCAGACAGCAGTGAGAGGAAAGCAAATCATATGAAACACACATGCCACACATGTCCAGAACCCAAACCCATGTTGTAGTCAGAGACTGCAGTTCTAATCCCCTTGTCACAGGCAGTCCCAGCTGTTCTTGCCTCTGAGGTCTTTTTGTTTCATCGTTTTATCATGGTCGTTCGAAAGCACAGCACAGACAGTGAAAAAAGCTTTTTGTATCCACTTCACTTGTAAATTCCACCATCTGGGACTTAAACCCAAAACGGTTTTATGCTTGACCATGGCACCATCATACAGAGCCATTATACAGAGTACTTCATCAGTGTATTGATCATTGGGTGAAGTCTGGAAGCTCAAATCTTTGTTCACTGTCCAGTTGGAGAAAGCCAGGGCACTCATGCTTTACACAAGACAACCCAGGCCTGTAAATTACATCTAAACTGGCTTGTTGTATGGCATTAGTACTAACAAATGAACTGCAAAGCAACTTTTCAATATCAACTATTTTGGATCCTATACTAATCCTATCCTAAGGTTTATTTACTTTAAAACACTTTCTTGACATGAAGATTGTGGTCCACAGTCCATCAAGAGAAAGATAGGTCCCTCTTGATATTCATAAGAAGACCCTGGCTGAGTTTTGAACTCTGAAACCAGATTGCTGTGAGGCAGTAGCCTGAACCACCACTTGCCTTCCTTCCTGTACTTCCTTCCTGCTAAGGTCTGTTTATTTTACCAGGTTTTTGTAAATTAAAAGCTTAGCTCAGACTACAGTGTGAAGAAAGCAATTAGTTCATGCTCCAATGGAAAGCCCCTTTCTGGGATTGAACCTCAGACCATCTGGCTGTGTGGCACTAGTTCTAACCACCTCATCATTGGTCTGCTAAGGGCAAAGAAGTTTCCAGTCCATTATGGTAACTCCAGTGAAAGGCAGTGACACAATCTAATCAACAGTATAGGATTTAAAGTCAACTTTGTAGTTGGGGACAGAAATCCCTAACCCCCTGCCATCACAGCCTGCATCGAATTTATTCACTGCTAGATTTTAGGGAGAATTACTTTCCTGTTAATTCATCCTGTCAGGGCCCTCTAAATAGTCTTTTATTTGGCATATTTCATGGCGAAATGTATGTAATAAGTAGGGGTTAAGTTTTTTTTAAGTATTAATTGATGTTAAAAATGAATTGATTATATTTAAAATTACATGAATGAAGTTCAGAATTAATGTTATTGCATTATAATGCACAATATCCAGGGGATGGGGAATGTCAAAGAGTCTATGGCTTCCCTAGGGACTGATGAGTGTTTCCGTGTTTTTCGTCCCTAAGTTCATTCTGATTATAAAAAAGGGTTTTGCATAAATACATGGCTCAGGGCTTTTATTGGCTGGAGTTGAGACGTATGACCCCTTCCTCCTACTGCCATGGCAACTTCGAGGACCCAGAACGGAGGAGGGGGATGTGGGCGGAGCTACGGTTTTAGGTCCAGGTGGTCGAGTCTGCGTGGAAAAACGCATCAAATACTCGGGAAGAAGTGAGCGTCGTTAACCAAAAAAGCTCAAGCCATAGCTCCTGGTACCTGCCTGAATGAATAATCTTCCCTGAAAGGTAGCATCCAAGACCTGTAGCGTTGGTTGTGCGTCGCAGCAGAACGGAGAAGACGGGCCCGAGTAGTTATTCGGGGTTTAACATCTAGATTTTTCATCCAAGAAGGAAAGTTTTTTTCGATCAAGAGCAGAACGGCGGGTTGTGGAGCGACAAGTGGAGCTATGTTCAGGAAAAGCAAGAGTAAAGTGCTGGTGGATTATGCGTCAGAGGAAGACGACATGTCCTGGCACTATCATCACTCTTATAAGGTAAGGAAAGGACAGGGCAGAAAACTTTGGGAGCTGATATTAGGTGTGATCATGAGGGGTAAAGATGCGCAAAATGATGGTGCGTAGCTCTCTGAAAATATGTGCCCCTCTTCTTCAGCCTTTCTTCACTTGTTAAGGTGTTTCCTCTCAGGATAAATGTCAGAGTATAATTTAAAAAGGTTAAACAGTGTAACAGAAGAAGAATGATTGAAAATTTGTTGTTGTTCAACAAAACCCCCGCTTTTATTATGTTACTTGTGGATATTTATACAGCGAGTCGTAAATTATATAGAAACTGACTAAAAAATACAGGAAGAGATCATAATTTGACACAAACCCGGTTTAACAATTATGGTCATGGTTCTTTTCAAACCGCTCTATTGAGGTTGTTAAACTTCTTTAAAATTACCTCATGCTGTCAACTTCAGAATACGATGCAGAGGAAAGAGGAGAAGGAATAGGAAGAGAAGGAGGAAGAGCGTTTGACTGGGGTGGGAGAGGGGATATCTCCTTAGCAGAGCTGCCAAACCATTCTCATTTTCTAATATCAAGCATAAAACACACATTATCATACATATTCTTTTATTAGAAACATTTATTTTTCATGGAATACAATATATCTATTGTGAATATACAGAACTTTTGGTTAACTAGAGTAACTTTTACCTGTGAACATAAAGAAGTTCATAAATTCCAGTGTGGAATAATAGAATCCTTAACCATATAAACTTTGGTTAAGATAACTATTGGTGTACACACAGAAATATGTAGATCATATAACACAGTTTAACATACAGTATGCATGGACAAAAAGAGGTGTAAAAACCACCAGGGCTTAATCTAGGCTCTCTCCAGCACATAGATTACATTAAAGCCCCTGTGAGGAGTTTTGTGACATTTTTCAAATAGCCTTAAATTCATACTAATGCCTCTTTATAGTATACAAAAACAAACAAGACCATTTTTATATCATAATTCTGCCTCAAATTGTGTGGGGGGGTAGGTGCCCACCATTCAGCCAAAGAATTAGACCTGTTTTTAAAATTACTGCATAAAACCAGACCAGACAAACAAAAACTGCTTTGTCTACGGAGAATGCAAAATTGACACAAACAGATAGTTAATCACAGGAGCTTTAAACAGGTCTTAAGAAAAGACAGAAAAGGGGAAAACTAAACAAAAAATTACATATTTCAAAAAAAACCAGTCGGTAAAAGCAGAAAAGAAGGACACACAATGACAGCAGACCAACATAAAACAAGTATGCAAAGTAAATGTAATGAGGATAGATTGGTTGTTTATGAAGATGATCCCAATGGACAACATGGCAAAGTCAAGGGCAAATCTTTAACAGCTCTCTTAAACTAGTTCTTAAAATGAGTTTGCAAAGCATTACATAGTACTGCACATCTGTAAATTGGACTAAACTAGCAAGCTTGAGCTTGGTAGAAAATTATAAAAATGAATTACAGTGAAAGTACAGTTCATAATAGACTGGAGGATGGATCTTGTTTAGAGGGCTGTACACAAATAAAGCAAACTGTACTGGAGTTGGTTGACTTGATAAACAGTGAGGATGCCTGATCTCAAAAACAAAACTTGAGATGAATGAGTTGTATGTACACAGTGGATGACCTTTGTACTTTTCTGAGGACAGACAAAAGAACAAGTTCAGCTGGATGAGTGCTTCCACATACAGAGTCAAGGCCATGTATTTGTAGATAAACCAAACAGTCATTTAAAATCTGCCATGTTTATTATAGGTCAGACTATTCCCAAGAATACTCTTGACTATTTTGGTTGTGACTCTACTAATTTGTTTTCCAAGACAGAGGCTCATCAAGTTGTACATGAGAAAGGTGTGACTGAACTTTGCCAATAGTGATACCATTTATTTTTATTCTTAAGTACTGATCTTTATTCCCATTGAGTACTGAATAAAACACAACAGGTTTACTTAATATTGAGAGATAACTTATCACAACTACACCAACTATTTAACATGATGGGTCCTTGATTTAATTCTTAAAGTTATTCTATTGGAGTCTAAATGAGTATGAAAAAACTCTGTTGTGTCACATATCAAAGTTGTTTGGAGCATTACATCATATATAAGTCAAAAAAGATAATGGCCCAAGAACTGTTTCTTAAAGTACACCACAAGTGATACTGCAAAGAGATGAGCTCATTCTCCTCTTAAATGTTTTCTCTGACTCAGTTATTTTACAAGATGAAATAGCAAAAATAGCATCCACTTGTCTTAATTTAGAATATGAGATATGGATGCACACACTCCTTTATCCAATTCAACTTACGCACATTCAGGTTAGCAGCCATGTGTGAGGTCCGAGTGTTTCTTTATCATCCATAACAGCCTTTCCAAGCAGCTGGACTCTGTCAAGGTGTTTTGGGGGTTACAGAGAGTGAGAATCCAAGATAAGAAACACACACACACACACACACACACACACACACACGCACGCACGCATGTGTCTCTGGAAAGGTTTAAGGCTCCCAGAGGCTCTGTTTCATAAGAAATAGCATGCTGACATGTTTATTTCTTTAGTTCCTTGTACAGTCCTCCTCAGTGGGACTGTTTATAACTGATGTCCATGACAAAAATCATAATGTCTGACTATTTAAATTTATTTGCAGTGGTTTTATTCACAGAGTAAAGCAGAGACAGAGTGATCAAATTTCAAGTTAGTAGTTTTATGTTTGAACAGTTGGTGATAATTTGTATGATCTGAGTGTAAAAAATGTACAATGAACCTTGTTAGTTATTTTAATCAGGGTGCTGACAAACAAGTTTCATTTTATAAAAGTTACATATTGAATACAGTTGGAGAAAAAAACTGCCAACACTTTTTCCCAACATTTTTCAACTGCAGTTTTTGTAATGTCTCAGTCTGTGACCCTTAGCTGGGTTTTATTATTCTGTCTTAACATCCACCCTGGGAACCAACATATGTGGCCCTCAACCTACGTCAGTCTCACATTTTTAGTCTGTTTTTATTCGTCAACAAAGCTACTCTGTAGATACAAGCTGATCTCAGATCACAGAAAAAAAGGCTCTAGAATTCCTGGTAAAGTCATCAGGAAAGTCTCCTCCAGTTACCATGGCAATAAAGTACATCCAGGGGTCAGGGGTTAGATCCAAACATGCTGTAAAGGCAGAGGAGAAAGGCAGTAATAATTTATAACAGTTGTAATGGTAAGAGAAATATTGATAAATAGATTTAAAGTGGATATTTTTAGCGACTAATCAATGAGCTGTCCAATCCAAGTTGGTTTATTTGACTATCTGACCATAAAAGAACAACAAACCTTCATAGATGAGGGGCTAAAATCTGATTCCTGGCTTTGCATGAAAAATGAATAATAATATTGAATCTTTACCATACAAAAGTACTGCAAGTTTCGTTTATTTCAATTAATCAGAAAAAGACACTTTTATAGATAAGTTTTTATCAGGGAAAATTCACAGTATATGGGGCACCATGGCAACAGGTCTTCTGTTTTTACCACAACTGAAGGTTCTTGGATATTTTCATGAAACCACATCTGATAAATAGACACAAAATAGAAAAACATGGTTATTAACATGTTTTTGGTTTTAATAAATATAACATCCTGCACTGTTTATCATCATGTGGACATGCACAATATTAACATCGGCAGATAATAACATTTCCGCTGATATGTGGTGGTCCATTAAAACTGGTACACATTCGTTTTCTTTGGTAAACATCAAAGTAAACTTTAAACTGCCATCTTGAAAAGCCAGAACCATAATGACACATTTGTCACTGATGTTAAAATTAAATATTTTTTGTCTTGCTTTATTTCTTAAACAAGTAGACAGCCACAGTAAGAGTAACAGGTAAATTCCAGCACAGGAAAGACTTGGTGTTCTGTATTAAAATAAGGTGTATATAAAATGAGAAAGGCCAAAATGAGTTTGATTGTTTTGGCATATCAGATGTCAACAAAAGTCCAATATTGCGTATCTGTATGATCCTGCATTATTTGAAAAAGAAAAAGTTCATTTGTGGAGTACTGAGTTATAGTATTAGGTAGGTTGGCTGGCCAGCATACTTGCAGATGCGACTTTTATTTTAAAGTTTCTTTTAGGGCTAAATGCCTTAAAAGAGAGGTTAGTAGGTTAGAGTAGAAAAGAGAGTTGGAAATAACATGTGACAAAGCGACTCAGGCTGGAGCTGAGGCTTTGCTGCCTGCTTCAGTACCTTTATTCCCTTGTACATAGGGTGTAGAATTTAATCTCTGAGCCAAACCAGTGTCCTGCGAATACTACCTTTTAGGCACAATTGGAAACTGATACCAATCCTGGTATTGGTTTTAGTATGACTCTTGCCACACAGTAAGGGGAAGTAGAGAGAAATATATACCACATACAGCATGTAAAAAAGTGTAAACAGTCTCAGAAACAAATAACTGATGAATCCAAAATAAATCCTTATTTTTTCCTCCACATCATTTCCCCTAATCAGATAGATAATCACCAAATCTAAATCTTTACTGGTTTCACTCTTTAGAGTGTTGCTCTAATTCTCTTTTTATTTGTGGAGTTGATGCTTTTCACAACTCCAACAATGTAATTTCTCCATTACCAACCAAAATTTTTAGCATTCTTTTTTTTAAATTACTTTTGGTTTTTCAGACAAGCTTCAGTGTTTTTGTTTTCATGGAAATATGTAATTCAAGCCGGGAAAATCTGTAGAATTTAAGTCTTGTTGGATTCACTATTGTGTGTGAAGACTGAAGTAGCAGAAGTCAGGAGTCATACTCATGGACAAACATTAATTGTCCATGGAACCCACAGGCCTGGTTTTTAGTTTGTAGCCTGTTCTGCTACTGTTTTATAAACAAAGTACTACAGGTTGTCTCTAGTATATAAAAGCATACTAGGTCCCTTTCTTTCAGCTTCCTGTTACTTTTATTATTATTTAATTGCAGAACAGATGCTTTACATATTGTGACAGGGAAATAATCTAAACTGTACCTTAGAGTTACTGATAAAAACAGACTCAGTCAGAGACTATACACAGACAGAGACAGACTAGTTTAAAGGGATAAAATATTTGTCATAAAGAGGGAGAGCTTGAAACACAGGACTTTAAGTTAGTTTCTGTCTCCCCTCTGCAGTGCTAGGGGGGGACTACAGTACAGGCCTACTGCAGCTTTCACCCCACCACTTGCTCTGTGTTGAAGTTCACCAGGCTTTAAGAGGCAGCTGTGAACTTGTAGGAGGTGCTGGAGTCTGTTTGTTTATGGCTTAAAGCGCAAACACACCTGAATACTTCAATAACAACACTAAAATCCCGCTGTCAGGGCCCTCTTTGTGAAGTGGGATCACAAGAGTACAGATCAGGTCTGAGTAACAACTTCAGACGACCTTACATCTAAATCACTAAAGGTTAGGAGAAGAAAGATGAGGCTGAGCAGTTCCTCTGTTGGGGGGAGAGGGGTTACATTTAAGAGCTTTGTCTTCAAAGTTCAAACTGAATCATTATACAGTTGGAAAATGATTGGATTTACACCTGTATTTATCGTGTACCTTTCCCCCATCTTGTTGTCTCTCTCCCTCCCCCTGTCCTCTCCCCCTCTCCCCTCTTCTCTCTACATTCCTCCCCAACCCAGCAGCGGCATGGTGGCTGTCTAGCATGAGGCTGGTCCTGCCCAAGGTTTCTGCCTGTTAAAAGGAAGTTTTTCCTTGCCACTGTAACTCATGTTAGTTGAGATGGGCCAAAACCCATCTTAGGTTGGTTCTTGATCATCAAACAATGAGCGTGGTCCAGACCTGCTCTTGTTCCTTGAAAAGCGTCTTGAGATGACGACTGTTGTGAATTGGCGCTATATAAATAAAATTTGATTGATTGATTGATTGATTGATTGATCGTGTTTCATGTTGAGATCAAGGCTTTAACAATCCCTTTACATCTGAGGGCCTCTGTCTAATAACTCAATTTTTTGCACCATCAACATCATGATGTCGAAATCCAATGCAGTTTGATGTCTTCAGTGTGTAGCGCAATAACTCCCTCAGCATAAGCTGTTTTTTTTGTCACCAGGCTCACAGCAGTCTGAGTTAATGATAATTCATCTTTTGAATTACCCCTGCAGTTGACAATGTAATTTCTCCCTCATCAATGAGTAATGATCATGAAGAGGCAGGACTTCTGATGCTAACTCTGTCAGTAACAATTGGGGGGGTCATTACCGTGGAGAAAGAAACCACACTTGTTTTTGAGTGTACAGTTTCCAGGTCTAGAGTACTACAATGCAATTTCTGTAAATTGATTAAAATTTTCTTTGCAAAATGTCTCTTAAAAAAAACTAATATGGAGCAATTTGATTACAATCTTGAAGGTAATAACTAGTGGAAGAGTCATGGGCCAGCTTTAAAGTCAGTCAACAGTAAGCAGCAGTGAAAAGTGCTCTTACTTAAAATGTTTTAAGTAGACACAGGCCCTGAAACTGCAGCTGGGACATAGTTAGCTTAGCTCAGCTTGGAGACTGAGATTAGGTGCAAACAGCCAGCTCGGCTCTATCTCTGACTCCAGGAAGTCAGTGTTACTCTAGACCAGTGGCAGCTGCTGGTCTTTCAAGGAGGGGAAGCTCATTTTTCTGGCCTACATCATAATTGTGTTTGTATATTTGTATGTAACAGAACAGAGTCGCCAAACACAACAGCAGTCGTTTTTAACAAAGACAAAAGTCGCTGAGGATCGGTAAAGTCTGCGGAGCAGTTAAGAACAACGGAATGAATAACTTGGAAAATGCTCTGGTAGATGTTTTATTCTTTAAGATTGCTGATTCGCTTGTTTAGATGTCAATCAAAAAAGGATTTCGCCTCAGACAGCTCATCCAATCATGGATGCAGAAGCTCAGCGTCCACGAGAAAGTTGGGACCGCCCTCTCGTCATAGAACTCCAGAGACGCTTAGCAGCCGATGGGCGGGACAAAGCCCAGCATTTATCCGATGAGCGTCTAGTTTCGCTGCTGGAACAACCCACTTTGAGCTTCTACATTGAAGTAAGCAGACGCTGAGCGTCCGGCTGTGTGAAGCAGTGAGGCGCTGCGAGGATGAATGAGAACGAAGTTGTGCCGGTTACCTGTGATTATTAGAAAGCCTTCACCTTTTGTTCTGATTCTGAACAAAAGGTGAAGGCTTTCTAGCGCATATTTAGTTGATGAAATGTTCACACAGCAGTACGTATTTCACCACTTTTACTTGTTTTTGGGGGGGTGACATTTTAAGGGAAGCTGAGCTTCCCTTGCAGTCTTAGAGAAATCGCCACTGCTCTAGACCTACTTTAGACCAAAGACCTGAATTTGGCATTTTAAGGACATTTAATCAGATAGGCTGTTAATTAGGGTAATTCGGAGATGTAGTTTTGCTCATTTTACAGTAACAATTCATTTAAAGTTAGAAGTTGGCTTATTCATGTTACGGGTTTAGACTAGCAGAAAAATCATGCCATATGCACATTTACATATATAATGCCATGTAATTTCCTACTCAAGCTATTTAAGTGACAAGCCAAAAGGGAGCCTTAGTCTGAGATAACACCACTGAACCAGAAAAAGTATAAAAGCTTTATGTATTACTAACAAACAAGACAGCCAGTGTGATATCAATGTTTTAGTCTAACACTTGTCAAAAAGGCAGATGAGGGCTAAAAGGCTCTGTGAACTATCATTGTTGTGTTTGCGTTTGGAAACTGTTCATGTTCTGGTGTTAAAATTCACTGAGTGCTTTAGTTACCTGGGAATGAGTTTTTTCTTTTTTTTCTTTAATAAAGACAACATAGAGCTAAGATTTACACAGCTATATTTATACATGCTCAGCCAGAGAGAGGCAGACTAATAAAGGAACAGACCCTTGTGACTTCTCTCTCTCTCTCTCTCTCTCTCTCTCTCTCTCTCTCTCTCTCTCTCTCTCTCTCTCTCTCGCTGATCTCAGACATTCTCACAGCTTTGATCATTTTTACAGTAAATCTCGCTCCACCATAATCTCAGGTTTAACTCAATGCCTGATGTTTTTTTTATTTTCTCGTCTCTCTTGTTTTAGTGTTTTTACATCTTTTGGAGCAAGTCCAACTTTAGTCTCAAGTCTTTAAAAATTTAATTCAAGTTCATGAAAAAATTAGTTGTCAGTCAAAATCTATTAATCAAATAAAAAAAAAATCTTTCTTCAAAAACTTAAGCTTTTCCCGTTTTGATAAGATTCAAATTTTTGTAAAATTTTGCTTGCAGAAATTAAATTAAATCTTCATCACTGGAGACTAGATGTGTATTCATCCATTCATCCACACAGCATGTTCGTTTTGCAGCTTTAAAAAGCATTAAAAGGAATTCCCCTTTTTATGGTAAAAAGTCATTCCCCTTTCTCTCTCTTGCTCTCTCTCTCTTTCTCCCTGACACACACACACACACACACACACACACACACACACACACACACACACACACACACACACACACACACACACACACACACACACACACACATTTGTGCTATTTGTGTTAACACGCTGCTGCTGTATGTGTTTGTGTCTCAGGACAAAGACATGGAGGGGGAGGAAGAGGAGGAGGAAGCTGTGACTGTAGTATCCAAGGTAAACTACACAAACAGCTATTTGGACATTATACAGACACAAACACTGTTAGCATTGCTTTGAGTCTGTTCTTACCCACCTCTCTACTTATACACAGTATAAAACAGACAATATCTCTGTGTTCACAGTATCATACTTGTGACATTACCTTGTTAGTTTAACCTTAAAAAAATCAATCTCATGTCTCTTAAACAGTCTCCAACCTTTGACTCATCTCAGTGCTCTTGAATCTATAGCATACAAAGTGTTTTTTGGTACATCTGGGGTGGAGCAGGGAGGTCAGAAGACTACAGTGTTTATCTGTAAACATGGCAGGCTTCAGTTGTCATCCCGTTCTTTATCTTTCACACTTATCACTGGAAAACTGTCTTGTTTGTTGTTGTGGCGCACACATGTCTGTTAACATAGTGTCATTCTTTTCCTTATCCATAGCTTGAGAAAGTAGGAGAGGTCCATTACTCTGTCTCTCTCTGAATGAGAAGATGTGTCCAATATATATATATATATATATATATATATATATATATATATATATACAGTACAGGACAAAAGTTTGGACACACCTTCTTATTCAATGCATTTTCTTTATTCTCATTACTATTTAAAATGTAGATTCTCAGTGAAAGCATCAAAACTATGAATGAACACGTGGAATCATGTGCTTATGAAAAAGGTGACAGAGTCAGTCACTAAGTACTGTCATCAAGAGCAAAGGGTGGCTACTTAAAAGAAAAGAACATAAAACATTTTTTCAGTTATTTCACACAAGTACAAAATTCCACATGTGTTCATTCATGGTTTTGATGCCTACAGTGATAATGTACAATGTAAATAGTCATATATATATGTATATATACACTCACCGGCCACTTTATTAGGTACACCATGCTAGTAATGGGTTGGACCCCCTTTTGCCTTCAGAACTGCCTCAATTCTTCGTGGCATAGATTCAACAAGGTGCTGGAAGCATTCCTCAGAGAGCTTGGTCCATATTGACATGGTGGCATCACACAGTTGCCGCAGATTTGTCGGCTGCACATCCATGATGCGAATCTCCCGTTCCACCACATCCCAAAGATGCTCTATTGGATTGAGATCTGGTGACTGTGGAGGCCATTTGAGTACAGTGAACTCATTGTCATGTTCAAGAAACCAGTCTGAGATGATTCCAGCTTTATGACATGGCGCATTATCCTGCTGAAAGTAGCCATCAGAAGTTGGGTACATTGTGGTCATAAAGGGATGGACATGGTCAGCAACAATACTCAGGTAGGCTGTGGCGTTGCAACGATGCTCAATTGGTACCAAGGGGCCCAAAGAGTGCCAAGAAAATATTCCCCACACCATGACACCACCACCACCAGCCTGAACCGTTGATACAAGGCAGGATGGATCCATGCTTTCATGTTGTTGACGCCAAATTCTGACCCTACCATCCGAATGTCGCAGCAGAAATCGAGACTCATCAGACCAGGCAACGTTTTTCCAATCTTCTATTGTCCAATTTCAATGGGCTTGTGCAAATTGTAGCCTCAGTTTCCTGTTCTTAGCTGAAAGGAGTGGCACCCGGCGTGGTCTTCTGCTGCTGTAGCCCATCTGCCTCAAAGTTCGACGTACTGTGCGTTCAGAGATGCTCTTCTGCCTACCTTGGTTGTAACGGGTGGTTATTTGAGTCACTGTTGCCTTTCTATCAGCTCGAACCAGTCTGGCCATTCTCCTTTGACCTCTGGCATCAACAAGGCATTTCCGCCAACAGAACTGCCGCTCACTGGATATTTTTTCTTTTTCGGACCATTCTCTGTAAACCCTAGAGATGGTTGTGCCTGAAAATCCCAGTACATCAGCAGTTTCTGAAATACTCAGACCAGCCCTTCTGGCACCAACAACCATGCCACGTTCAAAGTCACTCAAATCACCTTTCTTCCCCATACTGATGCTCGGTTTGAACTGCAGGAGATTGTCTTGACCATGTCTACATGCCTAAATGCACTAAGTTGCCGCCATGTGATTGGCTGATTAGAAATTAAGTGTTAACGAGCAGTTGGACAGGTGTACCTAATAAAGTGGCCGGTGAGTGTATATATATATATATATATATATATATATATATACATACATACATACAGTTCAGGCCAAAAGTTTGGACACACCTCCTCATTTAATGTCTTTTCTTTATTTATACTACTTATGTACGTATATGCAACATTTTAGTGTCTTATTTTTATTAAATTTGCAAAATGTTCTAAAAAAAGTTTTTTTCTTTGTCAGTATGGGTTTTTTTGTGTAGAATTTTTGAGGGAAAAAGGGAAGAACAAAATGTGGAAAAAGTGAAGTGGTATGAATACTTTCTGGATGCACTGTATATGTGTGTGCGTGTGTGTGTGTGTTTGTGTGTGTGATGTGTGACTTTACAGACCTCACTTATGGCTGTCACTTAAAGTTTCTCTCTTTTTTTTTCAAAGAGGAACAAATACAAAAACAAATACACTGTATTCCCACACCTATCATGCTGTGACAGTGGCAAGAAAACAAAAGCATGTAGATGTTTTCTGAGCTATCAGGTTAAGCAAGGTGAGGTCAGTCTGTCACTGTCACCAGAAATGGTCAACAAATTTAACTTGTATGTGGTGTATGGTAATAGTACTGGACCCAAGAGCATACAGGACAACAGGCTGATGACGGAGGAACAGGGTTCTTTAATGATTACAGGCAGTGGCAGGCAGAGTCTGAGTTCAGATTGAGTTATGGCAGAGTTGTGTTTCCGTAGGTGGTGAAGGGGTTTTAGCTGCAGGCTTGATGCTGGATAGGCTGAATCTTCTGGATCTGAGGCAGAGGGAAAAAAACAGTTAGTTTCGCAGGAAAACAGGTCTCAGGGGAAAAACTCTGAGCAGAGGAGCCAGTTCACTACCAGGGAGTAGACTGAATAATCTGGCAGCGTGTGGAGGGGAAACCAGGGTATTTGAAGAGCTGCTGATGAGATGCAGGTGTGTGATCTGGCCAGGTGTCTTGATTGCAAAGGTGGGGGTGGAGGCAGAGGAGCAGGAGGCTGAGGAATTCCAGCCAGGGCTGTGACATTGTATCTACTTTTAAATATTTGGGGGTTCTTGATCGATGACCACTTGTCTTTTAAGGCCCATACTCAGTATACTGTCAAGAAGCTGAAGTTTTTCTTTCAAGTGAAGTCTTGTTTTTCTTTTAGGGTGAAACAGAAACTGGTGGAGTCAACCTTTATTCAGTTTATTGATTATGGTAATGTGTTAGATATGAATATATATGCTCAATGCCTCCACATGCTGGATAGTGTGTATCATGATGCTCATATGTTTATCACAAACTGTGATGAGCTAACTCATCTCTGTGTCTTATACACTAAAGTAAACTGGCATCTTTAGATATGCGCCAGCTCAGCCGTTGGTATGTCTTAATTTACAAGGCTGTTCTTGAGATGGTTCCATCTTATTGATCATCCCTTTTAATCTTAAATGATAGGTTCTACAGTCTCTGCTCTCAGGACTTTTTATATTTTACTGTTCTTCAGGTGTGAACAGACACAGGGAAGAAAATTTTGAATTTCTGCTCCAAGTACATGAAACATTCTGCAGCAGAGCTCCAACTCCAAAGTCTGATGTCTCTGAATGTATTTAAGTCCATGATGAATTCCATCACATCCAGGCTTCAGGAGTGCAACTGTTTTATTTGAGTGCAAGTGTTTTTTTAAAATAATCTTGTAAATTCAAATGTTATTTGTATTTTGATTAACTATGTTTCATGTGACTATGTATGTGTTGAAACTTTATGTGCTGTTATTCTTGACCAGGTCTCTCTTGCAAAAGAAATCTTGGATCTCAATAGGACTAATGTGGTTTAATAAAGGTTGTATAATAAATAAAAATGCCCTGAGAGTCTCAGTCAGTCAAATTTATTTTGAAGACAAACAAAAATCAAAAAGTCAAAATGCTATCCAAGCTATTTATCTTGAACATCCACCAGAGGCAGCGTCCTAATTCGCCACTTCAACTTTGACCCACTTGGTGTAATTGTGTTGACAAAGTTGCATTGTGTAATCAGGTGTTATTACAGACATTTTTGTGAGTAGAAGAAAGGATTTGATTGTAAACACAGGGATGCTGGAAGGCAGTCATTGTTAGGGATGTTGAGAGAAGCCATACTGCATCTTGAAACTGAGGCTAATGAATTTGACTGCTCAGCTCTATTCGTACAATGGTTACTTAGTGAGACACAGATTGTAAACAGGTTAAATTATGTTGTTTTAGGTGTTTTTAACATGATTCAAGTCATCAGTGTTACATCTCATTTCCCCTAAGAGTCTGGTAAACCTGCAGGCAGGCCCATTGCTATCTGAACAGTAGATTTTAACTTCAGACCATACATATGTCCCGAACATACAGAAAACACACAGGCCTCTGTATGAAATATGTTGATCACCGGGTAAAGTTTTACATAGGCATTATGAATCAGCTTAACTGTATTAATTATTAAACTCTACAGACACACTGACATGATCAGACATGATCAAAAAGTTGGCTTACCTTGTGCTTAAAATCAAAGACAGGCATTTATTTATTTTTGCTGTTAGATCACATGAGTGTCTTGTACTTTGTGCATCATGGACACTGGTCTATTTTAATATCTGTTACCTCATACAAATTTAGTGCTGGATTTTTGAATGAGTTCTGCACTGATCCAGCATTTGATCAACAACTATTTGGCTCATTTTTGTCTCAAACTCTTAAAGAGAATGCCAAAATAAGATCTAAGAAGTCAGATCAAGGTACTTTTATGTAAAAGGTTTGCCTAAGGAAGTGTAAAGTTGGCTTAAAGTCACTGTGAGACTCTGGAAGAGGGATTGTTTGTGGCCTTTGTGTTTGCAGCACCTTTATCTACAGCTGTGCTTACTCTGACTAATGTGTATGTGAGAGATTATAAACTGTGTGACCTTGTTCATGAAAGACATGTAACATCTCCTGATCTGTACTGGAAGCAAGGCTTAACTGAGAGGTGTGGTTGTGTTAAACTCCTCTGACCATCTTAAGCTTGAGTGTTATCCTGAAACACTCGTTGTACATTGTCTCTAAATTCTGACTACCTTCCTGCTGGATGTAAAGCCTCTGTAGGTGACTTAGTTCACAGGACATATTTTACGACCTGTTCTGTTAGTGAGGATAAGAGTGGCGGAGCTGGAGAGGGGAAGGAAACGCAGCATTCTTTCGAGGAGCCGGGCTTTTTAGATGGGAACAATCACTGTGGAAGAAAAACAAAGCTGAAAATAGCCACAGACAGCTCTGACACTGTGAAAGGCTGCAATTCTTCCAATGTCTGTGGTCTTATGCTCATATTAGGTCAGAAAAAGTCCAGGTTGAGGAGGTCACCTTTCACTGTAAAAGGCTGATTTCATGGACAGATCAAAGAAGTATTTCCCTTAGGGCTGTTTGACCTTTTCCCCAACATGGAGTTCACCAAATTCTGCTTAATGAGAGTATTTATCGTAATAAATATAATCTATTTTCTAGTTTTTATACCATTGAAACAACACTTGGTTGGTCAAGCAACATATTCATTAACAATTAATTCCAGTTGTCCATAGATATTAAGGCAACAGTTTAGCTTTGCTCTCGTGTGAAATCAAGTATTAACTTGGTTTTTGCAATAAAAACTGTCTGGTAACAACATAAACCAATACTTCTAAACCCAAATGCCACTTAAATCACCAAGTTTCTATTTATGGGGTACTGCTGGAAGAATGTGGTCCAATAAGAGCTCTATTGTTCTGCCAAGCATTGAGCTACAGGTAAAGCTCCCTCACACAGCAGGTCTCTGTAAGCTACTTGGTTTACCTACATTTTGGCAGGAGAGATTATCAAACACTGAGCTGCTTTGGATCTAGAGGCCCCTGAGGTTAAAGCTGAGGAGAATGGTGAATAGGCAGGCCTCTGTATGTGCACATGCATGCATGCAAAGATACAGCTGGAATTCAGTACACACACGTAGATATACTCAATCTGTTTTGGCATCTCTGGTTTCTGCTTTGCAAAGCTGGAACTGCAGCAAATCTGATCCATGGTTTACACTTGACAGCGCATAAGATACAGAGGGCAGAGAGAGGGGGAGGCAGGAAGGGTAGAGATAGGAGGGTGGTGAAATAGCAAAGACTAATTTTTGAAATATTTTGATGATAATAAACTCTGTGAAACTGGCAGTGTTGTGCCTCTTGGCATGTTCAAGATGAGAGGCGAGGGGAGGATTTAGATTTTTCCTTTATCAGCACCAGTGCTGGTCTCCCTCTGAGATACCAAAGATAGGTTGAGTTAACAAATCCATCTGAGGTTGCATAGTTTTAAAAGGAAGAAGAGATCTTGTGTGGGGCCTTTCAGTGTCTACGTGTGTTACTTAAAGGGCTAAATCATTTGTTGGGGTTGATCTTATCTTGACTCTGAGATTTTGAAGTGTAATCTCAGACTTGATGACAGATCTTATTATGAGTGTTCCTGTTTGGTTTGACAGCTTTCATGTCTATATCCTCAGATCTTGAACAGAGAACAAAAAAGGAGAGAAAAAAAGAGCCTATGTGTTGGTGTTCTATGTGCATGCTGTGCTTTGAACTGAGCACATCCTGGACAGGTAAAATATAGAAACAAAAGGGAAATTTTACAAAGGTTGACAAGGTCAGATTCAGTCATCAAATAACGTTCTGGGAATGTTTTGATAATGGTACAGCAAAGGCAGGCACGAATGTGGAAGGAGTAAATGCTCTGACCCTGACAATTGACATTGGGAATTCTTCCCAGGCAGGCACAGAAAAAAATGGAGCCAAAAGTTAGCTCTATAATCACTGTGGAGGGCAGTATCAATCTGTGCAAGGGCAGGGAGGAGTTCTTATTTGACATAGGTGTCTGAGGAAGTTTCAGCAGGAGTTGAGGGTTTACTACAGGAATGTACCCAATGTTACTGCCAGGGCAGTGCCGCTCAGGTATCTACTCCTTATAGCTATCAATAACAGTGACTCTGTGGTTATGAGGTTTTTCACTGTATGAAGTAGCTAGACAAGCCTTTTGTAAATTGGCTGTATGGACTGACTTTTTTAGGAAAAGATTAATTGTAGTTTACCTAGGTGACTTGCCAAGAGTTGGATATTAGTTTTGATCATTTTTCAATCTTTGCAGCAATAAATTAGCTTAAACCAGCATATACTAGCTTTGCACAAAGACCAGAAATAGGAAAAAAGGGCTATCTTAGCTCTATTCACATTGAACAGAATAATTTCTATACTAGAACCTAATGTACGACATGTTTTAGCTTGGTTGATGGTAAACATTATTTTTAAACAATAAATTTTACTGCGCAAGTGACCATGCCATCTGAGACTTGGTGTAAAAGTCAGCCATCAAAAGACCCTCAATGTATCCTTTGCATAGAGTGCCACGAGTGCCATGCTTTTCTGTCAGGGGTGTAGCTTTTTAGCCAGCTAGCAACAGAGGGTTTTTTTTTTAATACGGTCACATAGGCAGTTCCAGCCTCTTGTCAAGTTTCATTATGTGCCAAGCTAAAATAAGCTAAGCTAAGCTATGATAAGCCTTACTACAATAAGCTAAACTGAGTAGATGCTCTGTGATCCAAAATAAAAAAGCTATAATGTCTACTGTTGTTTCCAGCAGGAAGCTAAGGTGAAGAAAATCATGTCCAAAAAGGAGAGGAGGGAGAAGAAGATGTTTTCCTCCAAAGATGACGAACACTTCTTGTTGACTGGAGTAAAGCTAACTGACCGCAGAGGGTAAGATAACTCACAACCATATGTTGGTCAACCTACTCAGTGTTTCTTCAATCTCAAGCATGTGATGAAGATTATCTCCATCACATGCTTGTTATTGTACTTGAAACCTTCTTGGAGTGTATAGTGCTCTCACTTTGTGTTTTTTTTCTGCAACCATAACAATAACTTTCAAGTGCTTTAAAGGAGAGGCAGTGATAGTTTGTCACATTTCTCACAAAGGACAGCTCTTATTTTTAAAATATCTAAATTAATCGTTGGACTTGTCTGGGAAATTCGATTGTAGAATTTCAGCATTTGTTTCTGTTTTTCCAGATGAAAATTGATTTTTTATCTTTGAGTGAGAAGTTTCGGTATTTTTGACTTTTATGAAATATACAAATTTTAACAGTTAATTTTTTATATCAAAAGCCAGCAAGACCATCCGCGACATGATTGATGATTTATATATCATAAGTTTTAATGTGCAAAATCAGTTAAAGGGGATACGTGTCAACTGAGCAGTTGAATGAACAGCCCTGTTTTCATAATTTACATGTTAAAATACTCACAATAACTGATTATAATAATAAAATGAAGGACAAGAAATAATGGAGTCACATACTTGCTTGTGTTTATATGTGAGACAGGTCCTTGCCCATAAGGAAGTAGAACATGTATGAAAAGGAAACTTAATCACTCCGCAGGGACCTTAGAAAGCTACAGTCTCCGGTGTAGAGATATAACAAACTATTCAAATCATAGTTAAGATGGGATTTTTTTTTAACCATTTCTCTTTCTCTACTTATGTTTTCTCTCAGATCTCACAAGAAAATCAAAGATGATGAGAAGGAAAAGGAGAAGAAGGACAAACCAGAGAAGGGCCACTGCTTCTGGGAGAGCGTTACAATGACCATGAGACAGATCTCACCTGCTAAAAAAACGGAGAAGATGGAGGGCTGGGAGCCGCCGCAGCTATTGAACGCAACTGAAACTGTGACTGAGGAAACCCCAAATGGCAATAGCAAGAAGGCAGACTTGCCAGTGACTTTCTCTGATTCTCTTAACCTCCCGTTAGAAATAGCTTCCTGGGGAGGACAGGGTCTGGAGGAGGACTCGTCTCGCTATGCTAACCTGATGGACTCCAAGGATCCAGCGGCTGCTATCACGTGGACCTCTCGCGCCAAAGTGAAGCTGGCTGGCATCAGTAGGATGAGCAGAGGGATTGTGTCAGAGGGCACATGGGAGGGGCTGAAATAGTAGAGTTTTTACATTTGTACCCTCTATTTTGTCACCTGGTGAATGTTAACAAGGAGGATGAAGACATGGACTTTAAATCTGTTTGTTTCTGTAGTCCAGTTCTGGACAAAACCAGTACTAACCGATGTGGAGAGGCTGCAATCAAGTCCTGAACGAGACACATGGAGTTCGTCTTCATGATTTTAGCTCCCAAGCCCTTGAAGGCAAACATGGTCAGTTTCATCGTTGGGCCTTTTGCCACTTTTACATCACTGACACAAACTGTAAAATACAAAAAATTCAAGCCTTACACTGCTGTACCAATTTAACTGTGATATCCACCAGCCCGGTGTTGAGATGTTTTATATTGCCTAGAATAAGAAGTGTGGTTTTCATGTAATAATGGCAAAAATCATGCACACTTGCCACTAAAGGTGTTGTGTGGTCATCATGGTCATTCCTGCCTATGCAGTCACAACATCAGGTCTAAAACCTCAATTTATACGTCTTTAATCAGCCTTGATTTGTGCAATTATGAAACAATTAATGCAAAAGTTTGATTACTGGTATTTATATGTGACAGTGTGTTTTTGAAAAAGAAAGAGTAACAGTGGTGAGAAGACAGGTAAGAATCCTGAGTTGCTTTCAAAGGAAGAATCAAAGTGCTAGTCTTGTGTCGGGAGCATTTGGACTTCCTGAAAAATCAGAGCTTCCTTACAGGCTTTAACATGTATAAATTTGATGTAGACTTCAGTTAACATTTATGACTATTAAAACACAAATGCCAGACTCTGTTTCCAGAAAAAAAGAGACCCCACACACCTATGAAGTGCCTAATCTCAGAAGAATGACATTGTGTTTGTTCTGCATTTGAACCAGACCAAATCCTCTGGGCTCAGGCTTATACAATCTAGGAAGGTGCAGCTAGGTTGACCCAGCTTGCACTTGTTCTGCCGATACCTCCTGTTTCCAGTTTGAAACCAGCAGGAATGGAAGAAGAGTTTATCTGCTACATGAATTAATACTGGCCAGTTCTTAAATGCTGTTAGCAAAAGTGTATATCATGTTTGCAATGAGACAATGTAATTTCATTTCTGTGATTATTTGATTTGTTTTCTTTTAAGTGAATGAGAACTGCTTGTCTGTGCTTTCTCTGTTTTGTGAATGCCTGTAAACAGACTTTGTTTGAAACTTAAGTTTCCAGACAACCATGTACACAGATGCAAGCCCACATCCAGGGACATATTTTCTCGTGGTGAATAAAGATTTGACCTGACAGTCTGGCAGTTTTTCAATGATCAACCAGACGCAAATGCAAGCCTTAATCAACTAAATCAATCTTTATAGCCATTTTAGAGGCTAAAACTTCCTCTCCAATTATTTTGTCAGCAGAGATTTGACATCAGTTAAACACTTACAGAAATAGAATTCATAGTCTAAATCGGTTGTTTTTAGAATCTTATTCTATTTACAGTTTGATGTACAAAGACAAGTAAAATCAACTTGTGGACAGCTGGTCACAGCCGTAGTCACCTCTGATCGCCTTTATAAAAATTGAGATTACAGCCCAAGAGTAATAATATTGAGCTCCTATGTTTAGACATTCACACACCTTGCTGCCATTGTATCGATATTGGTATTTAAGTACTAAATTGGTAGCTACATTTTGTCAAATTTAAAGATGACCTCCAAACAGTGTGCAAAGGGACCCAAAATTCCTGCAACACACAGAAGACAGAAACTGGTTTTTAGAAATCTTTACTTTCATATAACTAGTTAAAGTCCCATAAAAGTCATTACAGTACCATCAAGAGTATTGCAACAGTAAAGGAGTAGTACAAAAGTTGGAGGAAGGATACAAAACTTTTTCCCCCTTTTTCATTCCCTCTATTTTTTTCACTTGTTATTTCTGCCAAGGTTTGACTGTAAAAACTTCATGTCCACAATTCTGATGTACATGGAGCACAACAGGAATACACAAAGGACTAAACACATCATGTAAACACAGACTTTAACAGACATGCATTCAGTTATTGCAGGAAAATACCACGAAAATGGAGCAGAGCAGAGTAGTTGTAACCTCATTAAGTAAACCATCAAAATGACTTGTTATATTTCTTCAAAACTGTAACTTTCCAAGGAAAAAAACTTTAAAACATTACATAACACCACTTCCCTAACCAGAAACATTAACAGCTTTTACATATAACTCCTTTAACCTATTCATATTACATTAACATATTTTCTTTCCTCTGTATGGAAAATCCTTTTTCACTAGAAGAGAACAAGCAGGAAAACGTAATAGTTCCTTTTATCTTTCACTCATTATCAACATTCTTAGAATCCACAAACACGTACGGTAAACCTTTAAACATTGTGCGTAAAAATGAAGACATCAAAAGTAATCTCTTTCATTTCAAGCCCTTTGTATTTGGGTAGAAACAACATTACAGTCTCGTACGCAGTCTTAGAGTCAAGAGTGTGGGTAAACGGACACTTGGCTTGGAGAAGGATGAGGAGGGTTCAGAATTTGAAGAGGTCGATGAAGTGCTGCGGAGAGATGGGCATGAGGCAGCTGTCCGGGTCATTGGCTGTACACGGATGCCCACAGTCCTGGAACACAGTTAATATCTCACAGTTAGAAAAAGGAAGATCGATGTACCAGAGGAGCAGTTACTGGGCAGTGATGTCCATATCAGCTGTTAGTCCTAAATTAGAGAAATAATGATATATGGGGATTTATGCAGTCTATGAGGATCTCAGAACCAAAATCTTCCTTCAATCCAAGCTGCTTTACAGACTTCACCCCTTTTCTATTTTGGTCACTTTTTTTGCTTTATTAGACTTAACTCTTTCCTTTGTGAATGCCACTTTTTTAATAAGGCAGCAAATCAAACGATGAAAGTACATTTATTTTTTTCTATTAATGACAACAACTATGTGGGCTCTGCTTGCTAAGTATAGCACTAAGAGTTAGCCATAACATGAGTTGACTGACACCAATGCAATTTAAAGTCAATCAGTGTATTAGACTTGATATACTTGGTGTAAAAAAAAGCTGTGGATTGACAAGAGGAACGTCACATAGATCTGTGCATGCAAAGGTGCAATGCATCTGATTTTTCAAAGCAAACCACAGGAACATTTGCAGATAGCTTTAACAAATAGTTGTTGCAACCTCAGATGAGACACGTATACACAGACAAAAATTTGTGTTTTAGTAAATTTGAATTCAGCTTTCAGTTGAATCTATAGAGCAGCAAAAGATGTTTCACAAAGATTGTAGCTGAAAGTCAGCAGTAACAGAGTCAGTGCTCATCAAACACAAAATATGATGACAGTAAAATACAAAGCTTAACACACTGAAAAAAAGAAACTTTAAATCATATCAGTGGAGTAAAAGGGGACAGGCTGCCAACTGAGGTAACACAAAGAAATGAGAGAAAGGAAAGTACCTTGAATAACAAAGCCAGGTGGCGATCCTTAAGGAATCAGGGAGGAAGGGAACCAGGAGAGAGGAGGCAGGAACGAAGCAAGACAGGGAAAAGGAGGGATGCAGAAAGGGCAGAGGTTAACAGAAGAACAGGGACAAAGTGCAGGATAGTAAGACTGTTGGGGGTAAATGAATCCAGGGAGGGGGGTAATAGGACAGAAATTTAATTTCTCATCCTACTTTCATTAGTTTGTGCACATTGAGAAACTCCCCATCAACTGCTTTCGTTGAACATCCCTGTCTTTAACAAGGTTTAAGATTAGATAAAAAGTGTAGACAAGTCTATTATTTGACCTCTGATCCCTACATGTAAGAATACTTGAGACAAACTAATAAAATGTTTTCTGAATCATACATTACGCAGTTATTACCATCAGCATCTATGTTGATAAGTGAATTTGATGTTTTTACAGACCCCAAGACCATTGTTGCAGATTAACACACATTTTACATTATTAATATAATTTGCACAAGGAGCCCCTTGGTGGCTACCAGCTTGAGACACAGCACGAGAGAGAAAATGTAACTAGACCGCAGTGTAAGTGAGACTTCCCTGAATATGTCAAAAGATAATGAAGGTTTTGTCTCTGGAAAAAGGAAAAAATACATGTTCCAGTCCAAGCTTGATACTTGATTGGAGTCTGATCTCTGCAGGGTTATTAAGTCTGTGAGAAATGTCTTTCTTTGCAGGATCAGCTCACTGGAAACACAGCTTCAACACTTTATTACACAACCTTGATTGGTGTAGACTAAAAAACTTGATGCTTTTGTTTCCTTTGTCTGAAAGTGTCACCAAATGTCAAGCTGAACTTCTAATCTCCTTCTGATGTGGTCTGCAGCATAGCGCTCATGCTTCCTGTATGACATGAGTAGGGGTTGCAGCTGCGTTTTTTTACCTTCCAGAAAAGGATGCTACAGTGTTTGCAGAAATGCAAGGTGTCGCCGTACTGCTCCTTCATTGGGTAGTGTTTCTGTAGAGTGAAGTACATCAGCTTCCAGTCCACCATATCACTCTTTGTGAGGACCAAATTCCTACAGAACTGCAGAGGGATGCAAGCAAACACCAGGGACAAGAGTGTAATTATAACTGGCACAAAATGTTATTAGGTCTAATTAAAGGCAACTAATCATTAACATCATCCTGAGTGTGTATTTTCAGTGGGAAAGGAAAGTGTGTGTGTGTGTGTGTGTGTGTGTTTAAAAGAGAGAGAGAAATAGAGGGAAAGGGTGAGCATTGCATCGCGAACTGTGAGCAAATTGTTGTAATGCTGCTCTCTAGTGGACACCATGTGAAATATATGAGTCTTTGGTTGCTCAAAGCCACTCTGAGTTTTTAAATTATTATTATTTCAGATAGGAACATAACAGACTTAAGTTAATACAGATATCTCTTAAGTTGAATTTTAATTGAGAGAAAACTGATAAAACTGAGTGCTTCGTTGAAGTCATTTGCTTGAGTGCATTGCAAGAGGTCAAACAACACATTTCTTAACCTCCTGTAGAAACAGCTTTATTTTCTAAAAATCGTACTTTGACTCTGATTAATACATTTTGAGGTTTTAAGACAAAATGGCAGCTTTTTTTCCCCCAGAAAATAATACCTGCAAATTTACAGGACAGTACCAGCAAGGAAACATGGCATACCACTTTGTCCATAGAGGGCGCCGAAATCCCCTATGACTACAAGTTTCTCATAGGGGTTCAACTTCAAAACAGCTCATACATAAGAAGTTCCAGAACACATTGTTAAATTCAGTCATCATTCTCCATCAAATACATTCATATATGATGTTATCTCACCTGTTTGTCTGAGAAGTGGAAGTGGCAGAGTTTCTTCCACAGCACCCTGTTCTCACTAAGGCAGTGCAGAGTGGGCGTGGCCTGTCCCAGGTTAATGATGTCATAGGCATCAGATAACTTGGAGAGGATCTTGTTCTGCATGTACAGTGGTAAGTCGTTGAATGACAAACCATCGCAGATTTGCTGAGAAGAAAACAAAGAGCACATTTATAAAATCAGGAGCTAACCAGTACTAAACAACCCACAGTAACTAAACAGATATTGCCACATTGGATAGACAGTTTCGGCTGGGGGTGGGGTGTTGTGATGAACACAAAGTTGAGCAGTGAATGATTAGTTCAAACAGATAAATTGTTCATACTTCTCTTTTCAAATGTCATGTCCCCTTCTGTCAAAATTCAACTACCAGCTACCAAGGTGGAACAGTAAATACATACAGTTGAAACTGGAAGTTTACAAAGACTACATAAAAAGGCACATAACCTTTTTTTTCTCTTAAATCAGGTTAGACGGTCAACTTTTCCTGTTTTTGGTCAATTAGGATTACCAAAATTATTTTTATTTGCTAAATGCCAGAATAATGAGAGAAAGAATTTTTTAGACATTTTTTATTACAAAACCCAATTCCATTGAAGTTGGGAAATTGTAATAAACGTAAATAAAAACGGAATAAAATGATTTGCAAATCCAATTCAATGTCCAACCAACATTGAATGCCTGTGACCTTCGATCCCTTAGGCGGCACTGTATCAAAAACCGACGTCAATGTGTAAGGGATATCACCACATGGGCTCAGGAACACTTCAGAAAACCACTGTCAGTAAATACAGTTCGTTGCTACATCTGTAAGTGCAAGTTAAAACTCTAATATGCATTGCAAAGCCATTTATCAACAACATCCAGAAACACAGCCGGCTTCTCTTGGCCCGAGCTCATCTAAGATGTACTGATGCAAAGTGGAAAAGTGTTCTGTGGTCTGATGAGTCCACATTTCAAAATGCTTTTGGAGCTACTGGACATCATGTCCTCCGGGCCAAAGAGGAAAAGAACTAACCGGACTGTTATCGACGCAAAGTTCAAAAGCCAGCATCTGTGATGGTATAGGGGTGCGTAAGTGCCCAAGGCATTGGTAACTTACACATCTGTGAAGGCAACATTAATGCTGAAAGGTACATACAGGTTTTGGAGCAACATATGCTGCCATCCAAGCAACATCTTTTTCATTACAACAGCGTGGCTTCGTGGTAAAAGAGTGCGGGTGCTCGACTGGCCTGTCTGCAGTCCAGACCTGCCTCCCATTGAAAATGTGTGGTGCATTATGAAGCGTAAAATATGACAACGGAGACGCTGGACTGTTGAACAACTGAAGCTGTACATCAAGCAAGAATGGGAGACAATTCCACCTTCAAAGCTTCAACAATTAGTCCCCTCAGTTCCCAAAAGTTTATTGAGTGTTGTTAAAAGGAAAGGTGATGTAACACAGTGGTAAACATGCCCATGTCCCAACTACTTTGGCACGTGTTGCAGCCATGAAATTCTGAGTTAATTATTATTTGCAAAAAAAGTATAAAGTTTATATGTTTGAACATTAAATATCTTGTCTTTGTAGTGTAGGTACATTTGGAGCAACATATGCTGCCATCCAAGCAACATCTTTGTAGTCTATTCAATATAGGTTGAAAAGGATTGCAAATCACTGTATTCTGTTTTTACTTACGTTATCACAGTCTCCCAACTTGGGTTTTGTACTTCCTTGAGAGTCAAAGGTTTACACACACTAAGATGACTATGCAGATAATGATATCGTGTCTTTGGAAGCCTCTGATAAATTAATCAACAACATTTGAGTTAATAAGAGGCACACCTGTGGGTGTATTTTAGGGCACACCTGAAACACACTGCTTCTTTGTGTAACATCATGAGAAAAATGTAAAGAAATCTGCCAAGATTTCAGGAATTGTGGACCTACACAAGTCTGGTTCATCCTTGGTGCAATTTTCAGATGCCTGAAGGTGCCACTTTCATCCATTCAAACAATTGTACGCATGTATAAACGCAAGTATAAACACCAGTGTCCAGACATCATATCGCTCAGGGAGGAAACAGGTTCTGTGTCCCAGAGATGAATGTGCATTGGTCCAGCTCTGTCAGGAGAAATGGGCCAAAATTCCTGCAATCTATTGTGAGACGCTTGTGGCAGTATATCCAAAGAATTTGACCCAAGTCATACAATTAAAAGGCAGCTACCAAATAAATGAAATGTATGTAAACTTTTGACTCTTGAGAAAATAATACAAAATTGTCTAAAAATTTCTCTCTCTCATTATTTTGGCATTTAGCATATAAAAATAATTTTGGTAATCCTAATCGACCAAAAACAGGAAAAGTTTAACCTGATTTAATGTTAGTGAGGAAAAAAAAGGTAATGTGCCTTTTTATATAGTGTATGTAAACGTCTGGTTTCAACTGTACTTGTTGCACTTTTGAACACATTTACACAAGGGGCTCTATTTTCGTGTACACCAGTGAGGCGGCGGAGGGTTGCGGACCCCGCACAGTTGTATTTTCGTCTGGCGGAGCCCGGTGTACAGCCAGTTTGGTATTTTCGTGGACTGAGGCGCACGGAGGCGAACCGAGATCCGCCAAGCTGGGCGTGGTGGCGTGGCAGGGGGAGGTGTCGACAGAATCAGTGGGCGCAGTGACATTTTCGTGCTCGCCAGTGGCGTGTAAAGTGCGCTGAAAGCTCGCCGATTCAAACCTGGTCAGCTTTCAGCGCAGGCAGAGCGCAGCTGGTCTAGTAGTACTTTGGTAGACGGCGTATCGGCATACGTCACCGATGCCTCACTGGAGGGTTTCCACAGTGTCAGGCACATTTCAGTGCAATAAATAATCATCAACAACTATTAATCTGAGACATTTAGATCTATATAGATATATTCTGATCTATATCTGATTTGATGAGCGCGTTTGGCACGTGTTTGGACACACAACCTGACTGAATCAACACAGCTGAAATCGCATTTAATTAAATTAAATATCTAGTAAATAAACATACATGATGAAGTTAACAAAATATTTAATTTGTCTCCCTCCTTTTCTTTCTTCCTCTTCCTCTTATTTCTTGCGCAGCTCGACCTGGACATGTCTCCGTGTCCTCTCTCTGTCCTGCTGCAGCTCCTGCTGCTGCGGCTGAACAGATGATTTGTTTCAGTGATCGGATGAGTTATTTACTTTAGGCCTACATACGAATATTATAATATTCAGTTTTGTGAGCCAAATTTGTTTTATATGCTTACATCTATGAAAGAAAGAGCCAGGCCACGGAGCTTTGAATATATGCAACTTTATGTGAGTGTCTTTATTTGTGGAAAAGGGTGTTTGTCATACCAGTGGGTCCAACATTACACTGACCAAATCAGTCTGTGCTCATATGAGAGAGTGTGGAGGATGCCAAATGCAGCGCTTACAGTGACATTTGTTGAGGAGCTGCCTTCTGTCGCCATCGTGTGGCATTACTGTCTTCAGACATCTCTTGATCTCTTTGACTATTTCACGAAAATAGTAATACGCCTCGCCGGTGGTGGATTTAAAGGCAAGGAGAGGAGCTTATGTGATTGGGGAAAACAGGCCTCGGCTGTGTGAAACCCACTCCACGCCCTCTCTCCTCCCTCGCTACGACTTACGCCGCTGGGAGGAGCTGAGTTAGGGAGGGGGAATACTTACGCCGGGCTGCACCGCTCACCGAAATACCAAAATGTGCTTGGGAACGCCTTGTCGGCGCGGCGGACCTGACTTACGCTGCGCCTGTGGCTCCGGCGAGGCACGAAAATAGAGCCCAAAAGCTCAAACTAATAACCCAACATGAGCCATGCACTATTAGAGACTATTGAATGAAAACAAGTACGCCCTCTACCTTGGGGATCTGCAGATTGTTGAGCTGCTGCTGCCACTTGAGAATGGTCTCCAGTCGACACAGCCAGATGTTGACGTTTCCCACAAGGACACACCTGCCTACATGGATGGTCAGATTGTGTAGAGTTGTGCTCAGGTCCTGCAGCAACTCTTTGACCAGGCGTGGGTTGTAGTGGTCCTCTAGAACTAGAAGTGAGATTTTAAAACAAGGAAAAACAGCTTAGATGAGAAAGCCAACATAATTATCAAATAATTCAACAATTTAACATCATCCTTCTTTTAACTCCAGAAGAAAACCAGCTTACAGTCAAAGTCAATTAGTAAAAAACCCCCAAAATGTTTTACACGTTACAGACACAACTTTTTCACACGCTTAAAAAGGAGGCTAAAAGATAAGCGAAAAAAAAAACACATTTTCAAATAAACACTGCTTTTTGTTTTTAGTGAGTACAACTGCATGTAAATTTCACCACATAAATGCAGCTGACTAGACTTGTACTCAGGTTCACCAGGCAACACAACACCATAATGACAGAGCACACTTTTTCTGTGGGTCAACAATCACCACAATGGCATTGCCATTGCTAAATACTGACTATAAATAAAGTCTCGTGGTTGCTCTAAGCTTAAAAGTTTAGGACAGAAAAGCTCTTTTAAGAAACTTTCTTTCAGTTGCCTTTATTAGTGTTTGAGTTGAAATCACAAGTTCCAAAAATCTGTCTGTAACAAAGTAATCAGTCTCTATTATTTTCCTTCCTACCTTTTCGTACAATCTTCTCTAGTATGTTGAAATAGTTTTTCTGGGCGGCTCCACTCAAAGAGGTAAGCTGGGACCTGGCTATTAGCTGAAAAAGCTGTGGAAAAAGGACACAGTGAGTTTCGTCCATACATCAGTTTTAAGGGGATTCTGTTCAAACATGTAAAAATATCATCACTCACTTTTGCCACATAGTTGAATCTTCTCAAATCCTGGATGGCACTGGAAAAATCCAGACGGTTGAGTGCTTCACCAAGCGTGCAGTATCCATGACGCTGGGTTACCATGTAAACACACACATATGGACACAAATATTAGCTGGTTTTGTTCCTATTCAAGTAAGTCCAGCGGTTCATCCCTAATGGAAACAGGCAGAAAAAATCCTCTATACGCTGCAGCACTTACCTCTTTTGTGCTTCCTTTCTGCACATATATCCATTTATCCCTAAAAACAACTGGACAGGGAGACATATAGATTACCTTATGGAGAACAGGAGTTTGAGTAGAGTATAGGCACATTGAAACTGAACTAAAGCACTGACCTAGAGAATAAACATTTAAAGCTATGTTTAAATATGAGTCTCAAGCCCTGAAACTGCCAATACTTAAAAAACCTGGCCTTTGCAAAAAATATGGATAGTTTCTTAAAATGCATAAAGAGACCTTAATTCTATTTAAGAATGGGTGGCGGTCACAGCCATGGTCATACACTACGCTTCCCACAAAATATAATAGGCTGAATGAGATTTAGACTTATTCTGCTGCTGAAAAAACATTATGTACCTCTAAAAGGCATCCAAAATACACAAATGATTAAAATAAGGCTCTCGGGTCTAATGTGGCAGCCTCTGGTGAAACCTTTCCTGATCATTTATATGTGTTTTGTCTTTTAAATCTTAGCAAAGCTTGTATTAGGTGGTAGCCCTTGACTGAATTTTTGGCTTGCCTATTTAAGTGTTTCTGATCAGCGGACCTATGACTAAAGGCCTTTTACTTTTTACAAGGCCGAAACAGAGATTGTGTGCTGGTAAAACTCACACTGAGATTTGGTGTTGTTGTTGTAGAGGTCCTTCTTCCTCTTTGTGGTGGCGAGCTCACACACATCCCCAACAAATAGATTCTCTTTGTTGTCACTGCACAGCCTGGTTAGACAGGGCAAGCATGGAAGGTACATGTTAATGAGAACACAGTGTACCACAGGAAAGACTTACCAATCATAAGAGAGGGCAATTGATAACAAAATGTTGTTCAGAATCGGCTCATGGGTTGGGAATTTTATGTAAAACATCGAATTAGCTCATGTTGAGAAACTATATTGACATCTTCTATTCACATACATATAAAAAAGGACAAACTATCACAGATTTGCTGAGAAGACTGATTGTTGTAAGGATAAATCAGTACAACAATCAGGCTGATAGAGATGTAACAGCAACCAGAATAGCCAAGATGTGTCATTTTTAATGACTCACTGTTCTGTGTTGATGGAGGAAACACCACAGATTAAAGACATTAAAGACATACTCTAACTCAGTCTAAGAGACAAGAGAGCCTGATGGGACTCTGGCACTGTTTTCCAGAAAACAGGCAACACATACTCAGACCTGAAACTGATCTGTTACTTATGGCAGTGTTTTGGGTCTGCTTGCTTGACAAGTGGCCCTCTGTAAGAAAAAGCTCAACTTTTTGGCCCTAACTTGACATATTTAGACATTGGAAGCTTGAATTGGCCCAACTGAAAACATCTAACATGTGAATGCATGTGTGTTTGGAAGGGTCAGAGCACATTTCTCTGTATTCTAATTCAGTACAAATGTTTTCAACAGTGTGATAGGTCTCTGCAGAATACTGTAAAGTGAAAACTTTCAATATTTCTTTGATGTAATGGAATAAAGCTCAAACTGTTCCCCTGAATCTACACATTAGTTGTCTCCTGACCTTTAATTGACAGATCAAAGGGCTGGACTGCACAGGGGTTTGACTTTCCATGCATTCATAATCTCTTGGCTGAAGTTAAGCAACCAACTGGCAAAACTACAAACTCTTGGGACAAATATTTGGGTCAGGTGATTATACTGAGATATAATACCTTAAAAATATGCAGCAAGCAATGGGGCTGATACCACAACTGTGCAAACCCTTAAGTGTCCAACATTACTATTTCCTTTCTGCGGCGTAGTGATACTTGCACACGCGCAATCGAATATGCAGAGGGGTGAAGAGGTTTTTGTCACATAGACCAATAGGAGCCGAGTCTCATTGCCATAGTATCAGAAATACACAAACATGACGACGAGCGCATCTAGCAGCGAGACAAGCAAAGAGGAAGAAAAGAACAGGAAAAAAAGAAATCAGCCTTCAAAAGTGCATAAAAATGGAATGAAACGATGCTATATGCATCTGTCATCTGTCCAGAGTGAAGACGTTCTCGACTTTACAAGGACCCGTTGGGAAACTTACAGAACTAGTATTAGAAAGTGGCTTTCTCTACAGGGTGAGACAAAAGACCAGCCAGAAATGTACATATATGTGAGTAACACAAAAAACAATTATATGGTGCTGCTGTTTTTGCTTGTAGAAACTGCTATGTTGATTCTGGCAAGACAAAATCTTTCTCAAATGTCATAAATACATCTACCTAACATCTGAAACAGTTATTGGTGCCTTAGTATACGCATAAGTGAATTCAGATTATGAAATGTAGCAAATTTATTGACGAAAACGTCTCAACTCAAGTGATTTGCACCCAGCACAATGAAATATATACAGTAAATTTAGCTAAAAGCTTATGTTAAAATTGGAATAGTGGAAAAAATGTAACAAGACAAAAATAAATGCACAAAAGGTCTAAATTAATTCAAAATATGGTATAAAACATTTATTCAAGTATCACAGTGTCAAAACATCGGACATTTATCAATCCCTCCAGAATATGAAAATAAAGATCCAAACACAAACGCAGACAAATGTAGAACAGATATAAAAATAATAAAAATCTCAAATCTCGGTGTAGCAATCCTTTAAACATAACAAATTGTACATGGTGACATGGTGCGTATATTACGCATCACTATTACTTTCATCAGAGTCATTATTTCTTCTGTTTCCTTTGAAGCATTCTCACATGCTTGGCACCGACAAGCACCAAATTTTGAATTAATTCAGACCTTTTGTGCATTTATTTTTGTCTTGTTACATTTTTTCCATTATTCCAATTTTGGGGGTCGTGGTAGCAATTTGATTGACTTTCAGCCATTTATGGCCATGGTGTGCTGTTTATATTTTATTGCTTTTATTACACAGTAGGTTGTGTCATTTTTATGTATAAAACATAAGCTTTTAGCTAAATTTACTGTATATATTTCATTGTGCTGGGTGCAAATCACTTGAGTTGAGACGTTTTCTTCAATAAATTTGCTACATTTCATAATCTGAATTCACTTATGCGTATACTAAGGCACCAATAACTGTTTCAGATGTTAGGTAGATGTATTTATGACATTTGAGAAAGATTTTGTCTTGCCAGAATCAACATAGCAGTTTCTACAAGCAAAAACAGCAGCACCATATAATTGTTTTTTGTGTTACTCACATACAGTATATGTACATTTCTGGCTGGTCTTTTGTCTCACCCTATAGAGAAAGCCACTTTCTAATACTAGTTCTGTAAGTTTCCCAACGTGTCCTTGTAAAGTCGAGAACGTCTTCACTCTGGACAGATGATAGATGCATATAGCATCGTTTCGTTCAATTTTTATGCACTTTTGAAGGCTGTTTTCTTTTTTTCGTGTTCTTTTCTTCCTCTTTGCTTGTCTCGCTGCTAGATGCGCTCGTCGTCATGTTTGTGTATTTCTGATACTATGGCAATGAGACTCGGCTCCTATTGGTCCATGTGACAAAAATCGCTTCACTCCTCTGCATATTCCATTGCGTATGTGCAAGTATCACTGCGTCGCAGAAAGGAAATAGTTCGACACCGGAACACTGATTACTAAAAATCGACCGGATGGCATGAGTAGATATTTTTTTTTAGTACTTACTATCAATAGAGCTATTTTATGAATCACAGTTTATGTTGCCCCACTGAAGTAGAACGAACCAACACACTCTCGCTCAGCCAATACAGCCTAGGAGAGTTTCAGTAGCAGTTTTACATGAAGGTATAATAGCCTTCTCCCTAGCAATGCTGTCCAGGAGAGGCAGTAGACAGCCATGCAACTGTGATGCAATCCTAAAACACTTCAGGTTCTCTTTTTTCAAATTACCTGTGAGTTGTTACATGCAAAGATTGAGCAATCTACTGTTTAAACAACTTCACAATAAACGCTTTCATTTTTGTCACTTCAGACAATCAATTTGGTATCAATTTAAACATTTGCTCAGATGTCTTCTTCCTTTATTAATTAATATGCTGTTTTTACTGTATTGTATATTACTGCAGTATTCAGTGGGTGGTTCCCAAACTTTTTTCCTTGGAGTTCCCCTATTTGTGCCTAAGTAAAGTTACTCTCCCCACCCAACCAACCCCTGGACTCTCACAGGAAAAAAAGGATGACTTTCTGTAAAAAAAATAAAAAAATGAAAAATACCATGTACCAGATAATACATACATTTTGAAAAAAGTATTTCTACACACAGTTTTACCTATTTAAAGTAGTCACTATCCAGCGAGTTTGATAGTAAATATTTGCAATTCTAATTTAGCAATCACAGAGAAGACAAAGCCTTGCACCTCCTCCCTGAGATCTGAGTTATCTTGTCCCTGTCGACACAGTCTCTACAACTAACATGCAACAGGGGATATACTCTAATGAAGGATGGTGAAGAGCATGTTTATTTCAAGTGCTTTGTGCGGCTTTAGAAAACCTTTGCTTCACTAAAGTCATTGGTTACATTCTGATTGATTTCTGAAACTAATTCACATTTTCCTCTGGGGTAAGAGAAGGCATGCCTCTGATCATCTCACTGCAAAGTTAACAGGGTAAATGGACTCTACTATAATCCCTGGTCTCTGTGAGTTTATCCAATTGTACAGACATACATACAAACACACATGCAAGCACAGTAATCTGCCACAGTGAATTTAAAGTGAGGAATGCAATAGCGTGCCTCTCTTACACTGGTTGCATGTGTAGCAGCAGCCTCCACACAGCCAATAAAAGACATCACACAACAGTGGGAATGTTCAGAAGGATTTTTAGATATTTAAACCATAACCTGAAATAAATAAACCACAGAGAATGAGTGGGTATAAGCAACAAGGTGGGAAACAAAAACAGTATGTGCCTGAAATTTAGCTAGGATTTATTGGAGAAAATGTATTCAAGCTTAAATGCACAACTGCACGCTTTTTTGTGCGAGGTGACAATCAGGGTTATTTTCTGCTCTCAAAGATTGCACATGGATTCGAACTTCATTTGTAACACAGTGTACCATGCCACTGGCCACCATAATGCCCTCCTTTCTTTCTGCTAAATGTACCTCCACTGCATGATGTCACTAGCCTTTCTGAGCAACCATGTTTTTGGCGCATGGCCAGTCTGAACAGATGATGTCACACATTATTGTCTGATGCTGTGTCCGTTGACTTTTTATGAAAAGACTGCTGACTTGCTAATGTGGGTCTCTGAGTGATGTTGATAGGCCGATCAATAGAAAGGGGGACTAAGTGTCATGGGGAGACATCACCGGCTGGTGCAGAGATTCAACTGTCAACTCAGTTAGCACCAGGAAGGTACTGACGTCACCCTGGCATTCACCATGTCACCATGGTGAAACACCTCTTGCTATCAGAAGACCCTAAAGTAGTTGTTATGAGTCTTATTTTCAGAGGACTTTTTGAATTTTTGCTTAAAGAGGGGGTATTAGGCTTGTTTTTTTTTGTTTTTTTTGGCTTTGTTTGTCCCTCTGATAACATCTTAGCAGCTTTACATAGTTAAAAAAATTCTGAACATATTTCAGGCTGCTGTCTATAAAAACCTTCATTTCAGCAACTGTCCTTCCCCCAGGCATTCACCCTTCTTCACTGTTGCTATGTAATGCAACAAAATTTGGTTTCTTCTATAAAATGACAAATTTGCCCAATAAGGTCATTCACTGTCTGGTGGAGTCTGAATTCAAGCAAATCTCATCTTGATCTTGTTGAATTAGCTATTATGTGACTTTTTGAACAAGTCATTCAGAGCATCCTGTAGTCCCATTTGAGGATTACTTCATTACACATTAATCTTGCAATCTGGAACTTTGCTCATGTATATTACTGATGTCTTACTGTCCAACCTAAGAATTAAAAAAAATAATTAAAGAAAATAAAAAAATCATAATACCACCTCTTTGAGAAATAACTCACACTGAAGAATCTGGGCAGAGCTGACCGAACAGTTGGGTTTGTTAAGCTAGAAGCTAGACAGCTTCAGGAGGGACAGAGTCCTAAAAATGTGAGACAGGTTGTCTTTATTTAAGTGCTGTTTTTGTGTGCTTGAGCCAGAAGAACTGGTCTGCTTACATTCAACACACAACTTCAAACATACAGTAAATACCCATGACAACTTTACACATACCATGTGTTGCAATCATCTAAGACTAACTCAAAGACAAAGACACCACGAGAACTTCAGTGTACTGCTTTGATCTGGAGAGAAGGTTGTTACATTAGGTTATTTTTTTAACACAAAAATTACACATTTACTCACATTTTATATAATTTAAAGGCTACCCTGACATATTCATCTGTCTTTGAGGTGAGTGGGGATATTTGAGCCAAATACAGTGTTTATGACAGATGATGAAAAAAAGAAATGAGACAGGATGTATCGCTGTTTGTTGAGGACAACTAAATGCAAGCTTTACAGATAGTATTACATTCTTTTGTCCCAATAGGACCCTACCTCAGTCTCTCAGCCATATGGCCAATCATCAAACACAAGGAAACACAGGGGACATCTTAATCTTTGAATCTATTTCAGCATAGCAATATGGGTTATTTCTGAATGTCAGTATCAAACTAATGGATGGCTGATATCACAAAAACCAATTTCATTCTTACATTAAACTATTGTGATTGAATAATAGCCTGAAGAAATCAACTTGATTCCACTGCTGAATATATTCCACTCATTGTATATAGCAAGGTTAACTCTACTAGTTATGTACTTTTGATTTATATTTAGCAACAAAACAAATTTTTATTGAATTATCATCCAGCCCAGGAATTAACTGTACAATACTTATAAGACCAGATAAAAGGAGCTTTATTGATCTCTGAAGGGAAATTCAATGGTAATCTGAGACAGAAATATGTAATAGAAGCAGAAGTTATGTGATAATATCTAGTATTTGTTGTGCACACATTAGGGTATGAACTAGATATAAATTTTAGTTTGGCTAAAACCAAATAAACCAGATAAAGCACAGTGATAACTTAAAGTATACTTTCAGATAGAACTAATGTCATTTAAGGTAAGTATAGGAATAAAAATGGAATAAGGGGTAATTTGCTTACTCTGTCAACTCTATCTCTCTGTTGTTATCCTCTAGCTCATGTCCATAGAAGACAATCCTCTTCCAGCCATGCTCGGTTTTTGTCCAGCTCCACCCTGGTGACCTCCAATCTTGGCCCAAGAAAGGCATTTTACCTGGGGAGGGATGCAAAGCACCTGGGCAGTCAACAAGGTGCTAATTTCTCTTTAGGCTATAGTTGAAAGCAAACAAAGACCATACACAAAGACTGAAAACCAAATATGTGGTCTATAGCCAACTTAACATTATGTTACAATGTGATTGAGCAGATGCTTTAAAGCAATGTACATTCAGAGTGAGAAGATTACAAGCAAAGATCTAGAAAAGAAATTTCCAGATCTATGTGTTGACATTTTAATGGCACTTGTAGGGTTCAATAATTTTACATTAGAAAATTAATAGTTTAATCAAACTCATTATTTCATCTTGAAATAATTTCAAAGGTTTGAATTATATTCTAGAATCCTATTTTGGCTACTTCCTGAAATAATTTCAAGGTTTTTGAAACATCACAACAAACTACGGTTTTCCAATTGTCACAATGTTGTAAATACAGTAATTTCTAAAGTCTAAAATTCATGTGAAGTAGCAGTCACTTGATGGTGGGGGTGGAGAGATGTTATGGCCTTATACAGTCAGATACAGCTAGTGTTAGAAACTACACTTTCAGAACAGGTTTTTGTCTGACAACATAAGCCAAGTCAACAACAAGACCATTACAGTTCTGAATGTTTTCTACTCAGAGCCTGTCATGCTGAACTGAGCCACGTTGATTTATTAATACACATGGCATGAAGATTATGTATTTGAATGGAGCATTTAGAAAAACAATATCGCTTGCAGTCTTTCTGACATGTAACGATCAGCCGTTAAAATGCAGTACAGCAAAGCTGTCAATTGCTTGAACGAATAAAACCACGACAGGAACAAAATAGAGACTCTTAAATACAATGCAACATATTGTACATTGATTTCTACAACCTACCTAGAGCGACTCTTTTGTTGTACCGTCCGTTCTTATTTCTTGTTCCTTCTGTCCACACTGGTGGAAATACTGACGGAAGTAAACACAGTGCGGACACAAGAAGTCGTCGCCGCCCTCTGCTGCTCTCTGATTGGACAGAATATCAGTATTTATCTTGTTGCTACCCAGAGTAGCACCACTGATTGGCTAGCCATGGCTGTCAATCGTGTTCTTTTTTTATCCGTCTGTTTTGTTGGGGCTTTCTTGTACACGTGACAGAGGTCCGCGCACATGTACTTATGTTTAGATTTTGTGATGGAGGATAGGAATCAGACCACAGGACAGCTGAGTGACTGATGAGGTGGCCGTTTAAGAACAAGGCACAGATGTAATGATAGAGTGTGAAGTACACCAATAAATAGGCCGATAATTTAAAAAAACGGAACATTAGATAGTTGGTTTAACATGTCAGTTAAATTAGCTGTTTTATTCATATGGATTGGACTCAAACTCAAACGTGTTTGAGTTTTCTTGAGTCTAAAGTCAGAGTAAATAAGTCAAGTCTGCAGTCATAATGCAGGGGAGGAGGCTACAGAAGTATATTGGTGATATCAGGAGACATCGATATGCTATATGGTGTATCTTTTTAGCCTGGCCGAACTCCGTCTCATTAATTTTCATGTCAGAAACTTTTGCTTGCTATTCTTCAGTCTGACACATTTAAAAACTCTCAAGTCAGCAACACAGATATTAAGTATTTACCTTCAACCTGAGGAGCTATTTTTCATTGTGTTTTATGTTACAGGCATAAAAAATATGAAAAAGAGGAAAATATTAAGCTTCTCGTGACTTAATGGGTTAAAGTATTTTAGTAGGTCAGTGTGCAATGGCAAATCTCTGCTCCCATAAGCATGGGAACCAGACAAATCTGTGAGCTCATGATTTATTTGCTCTGGCTTTATTGGACATGAGTACAGTATAATTCACTTATCATCAGATTGATATTCCAAGCTCTGCATTTTTTGTTAGTTTGTCATTGCAAAATTATCAGTTACAACATCTCAATAGTGTCTGTTGACATTGTACATAAGGCTCTTGAGGCAGCTGGTTAAACTCTAAAACCTGTTTCTTATTTCCCTAAGATTTACTTGGAAAACGCCACATATCAAGTATCTTTCCAGAAAGGGTTATAGGTGGGGATTACTCTTCTTGGCATTGTTTGCACTTATGAACAAAGGGCAGTCAGAGGCTTAGTATTACTGGCTGGGTAACAGATTATAACACATAATCAAGCACAGCATTGTTGTTGGACACTGCCCCCTTGAGGCTCCATTTTGTGAAAACACAGTGTCAAATCAACACGAGGATGCAGCACTGCACTATAATCCTGTTGACATCTAATGGAAGCCCGAGTGATAGACATATTTGCGTTCCATTTATATTAGGCCTTTAATAATATTAAAACTAAATTTTTGAAATTTTTTATTTTATTTTATTTTATTTTTTGCTTCACTTACAATCCAAACCAGTTGATTTTATTTGTGACTGGATATTCTAAAGTTATAACTGGTAGAGTATCACCTGATCACCTGGCTTAAATTAGTTGTCCAAAAGCTTGGACTGAACGAGAACAATTTTAACTACACTTTTGGCTGTCAAATCAATGAGATCATACTACTGGCAGTTTATAAAAAAAAAATTAAGTACTTCAACATGTGACAATGTCAAAAAAACAACACCAAACTCTGTGTAGGTGTTCAAGTCAACCTGCATTTAATAAGGTGTTAAGTGATATTGCTGTTTTTTCAACCTTTAATGATAGAATGATTGAGCCCAGTAGTAGTAAGTTTAATATATATATATACGTATATATATATATATATATATATATATATATATATATATATATATATATATATATATATATGTTTTACATTCAATACTTTCAATAATGCTTGAGAATTGAACCAGTAGTTGAATACTGAGAAACTGTTTTTGAGCTCTTCCTGGTAACAAGCACATGTAAAGGGCAGGATATGACTTGCCTGGCTTTAAATTGTTAGTCAGGCCCCAGTAAGACTGGAAGGTGTGTCAACATCATGAGTGCCGCTGAGTAGCGTGTCTTTACTCACATATTCTGTGTAATTGTTTATGTCTGCATGTGTGTAAGAGAAACAAAGGGCAGGTTATAATTGGATCCACAACAGCATGTTCTTTGCTTTCCCCCTCTTATGTACCAAAGTCTCAGCTTTGATCTGAACAGAGAGTTGGCTAAAAGACAAAAAGGAGAGAAAGTTACGAGAGAAAACACAGACACAGATTAGGAGGGAAGAGAAGATACAGTTACAACAGGTCACTGGATTTAAGCCTATCAGATTGTTATGTACATTCCTTTCACATACAGGACTGAGGGAATGACTGATGCTTTGGCTGGAAAATACCCACATCCTACAGTTTTGTGTCTGGCTGCAGTTAAATCTAATTACTTTACAAGTTTCATTAATGTCAGTAAGAAACAAGAAACCGCAATAACATGCAAGAGGCTGATGTTACTTACAGGCAATTTTTGGAGTTACCACTGAAGTAACTGTCATTATGTGTGAGGTTTGACTTTATATACTTGTGCAAGTATGTTTGTGTGTGTGTGTGTGTGTGTGTGTGTGTGATGGAATGTGAATTATTCACCTACTAAAGAGAGCTGAGAGGCACGTATTACTGGATCATAGTCATGGGGAACAGGCTCTACAGGTATTGATCTAAAATGTCTACTGAAGAGCATCTTCTCTAAACAACTCCTTTGATAAATTCTATGAAAATCATCTTCAAGAGTTTAAAAGGATTAGCTTGCTGGAATCAGTCTCTAGTTTAATAAAAATGGAAAGTAATAAATTGATTGCTTTTTAAAACAATTCATTCATAACTGATGGTGCAAAGTTCAGTGTAAACTATTTGAACAGAAAATATTTTTGGGTGGCTATATTTGGTGAAGTCCCTCATGGGTAACTGTGCCAAAATGAGTTTATTTACAACTTATTATGCTTTTAGTGACAGATAGATAACATTGAAACACTGAGACTGACTGTTTTTTCCACACGCACGCACACACGCACACACATATACACACACAGAAAGAGAGAGAGGGAGAGAGAGCGAGAGAGAGAGAGAGAGTAGAAAGGAATTTGCTAAAACCTGGCAACCCAAAATGTGGTGTTTTAGCAACAAACTTGATTATTGAAGACGTTTCTGTTAGGGCCACTCGTAAGAACTTGTAGACAATCATTTAAAAAGTTTTTATGGCAAATATCAACATAAACAACAGGAGTTCAGGTATATATAAAGATTTTTTATCTTTTGTGTAATCAATTGCTGCTGAGCAATAAGGGCATGTTACCCATAGCAGCCTCTGGTCTCCAGAAATGAAGCTGATCTCACTTGAGTCCGGCTGAAGGAGCATTGGAAACCAGGTAAAAAAGGTAGTTTTTGGAACACAAATAAACAGGTACAGGCGGTTTTGGTCTGATTAGCTCAGGGGCCATCCTTGCTGCACCCATGGTATGCGTGCGTGCGTGCGTGTGTGTGTGTGTGTGTGTGTGTGTGTGTGTGTGTGTGTGTGTGTGTGTGTGTGTGTGTGTGTGCGTGTGTATTTTGTAACATGTTAATTTTTTAAATTAGAGGTCAGCCATGCCCCAATCAGATCAGAGGCGTGGCTGACTTGACCGACTGGCAGGCACACTGTAACAATACAGTTGAGTGCTAAGTGTCCCAATGCTAAAATGCCCGTAGTGTTGGTGTTTTTTTGATAAACAGCACTCACAGTTAAAAATAGTTAAACCTCTGTAACACAACCAGCTCACCACTGTCACTTCTGTCACCAACAAACACTACCAAGAAGAGGCAGGATTTCTGGTATCAACTTTGTCATCAACAATGGTAATAGTCATTACCGAGGAAAAACTTACCAGATTTTTTTTTTAGTTTTCAAGTTCAGATCTGCTGTCAGTGCTATGGCAAGATTTCTATCCATTTTTTAAAATTGTTTTATTCTTTTGTCAATGCAAATAAATGAAAGCAAAACTGTAGCAAGCAGAAAACTCTAAAACAAACTTAACCATCGCTACTAAGAGATGCAGAAGCGCAAGGGAAAAACTTCCATAAGCTAGCAATAGTGTGCTGTTGAAGTGCTGTTACAGGCACTGCCAGCATTAAAGGACACATGCTCTAAATCTGCTGTGATTCACATTATGATTCAACTGTATAGTAGAATGCAAAGCCTGTATTTTCAATCACAAATTTGATTGTAACATCGTGGGTTTTGTCACAACATGTTTGATGTTCGACTCTGTGAGCTCAACGCGCTAAAGAATGGTTTCCCTGTGGAAGTTTAAATGGAAGCAAAAAATGCTAGAACTAATTTTCCCCTTTTAGATGTCTGTTAAAATATTCACATACATGTACAGTCTGTACTAAGTCCAAAAGACAATATGGTACTCATACCCTGAAACACAGACCTTAAGTTAATGTAATGGATGGATTCGCTGTGTGGTCTAGAAAGAACAACAAAATATGGCCTCTCAATCCAGGTCTCTTAACTTCTTCCCAGTCTCTTTGGCGTTTTTGCAGCTGTATAGCCACTTGATTATCCTTGCATTGCGCTCTATGACTGACGTCCCCTGGCGTATAGTCTCATGTAACTCGTCTTCCAGCAGCCCGTCGCTGTCCCCGCTGTTCCTGGAGAAGCCGTCGTCCGATGAAGAGATACTAACACTCCTGATGAGATTTATTGCTATTTCATCAGAATGCGCTGAGAAGTTTTCTCTCCCCAAAGACTCGATGACCTCCCCTTCCAGTCCACAGTACTTAAAAAAAGCATCAAAGTCTGCAAAGTTTTTGGAGTACCTGGAGCTGATGTCAGAGTGTGAACGACTGACCCCTTTCCCAGGCCTCCTTTCAACCTCAGGAACTGTCAGAAGACCAGTAGATTTTTTCCCACCAGCAGCTGTCACCTTTGTCCCTGAATCACTGTCCTTTTTTCTGTGTTTTTCCACTTCTCCGTTCCTCCCTCTTTCCTCTGTATGGGAGCAGCATTCCTTCTCTGTCTCCTCAGGTGTGGTATTTTTCTCCGTGCTGTTCTCACCTTCACTCTCTTTATCTGCTGCCTCAGGTAATGGAACATTTTTCCGCTGCAGTTTACGTGTTCTGCGATATTTGCGTCCACTAGCTGACCCTTTCAGTAACTCACACTTCTGTCTGTAAATTAGAAGTGAATCTGGTCTCTTTTTGGAGCTGGACCGCCGAACCTGCCCTGGTGAGCAGTTTTCTGAACCACATGTTGCTGCTTTTGGGCTACTCAAAGCATTCAGATTCCCGCCACGGTTGGAGCTTCGGTTAGAGGACCCAGTACTGCTCACAGAGGCTGAGCCAATACTGATCACGGGCTCCTGAGTTGAGTTGACTACTTGTTGGCTTTTGACATATTTGGGTTTGCTTGCAGCGAGCCTCTCCACTGCACTCGTGTGTCCTTTTGTCTCACTCTCAAGCTCCATTTGCTTCCTAAGGTATTCAGGTCCCTTCTCCAGGATTTTTGTGGCATCACTGGTTGTATCCATTGTGGCCGGAGTGATTATTCCCACAGAAAAGGTACTCCTTTAGCGTGCGGTTTCTCCAGTGTTGAAGGTAAAAGATTCCATTCAAGCCTGTCTTTGCCTGAGCACGTATCACAACAGGAGCCTTCACCTTGTCTTTTTAAACTCACATCACATTACCCCACCCATTCTCGAGTGAGGCTAGTTTTAACCAAACACAAGCCTGTTCAAAGTTCACCTGATACCATCGCAAGTAGGAACAGTGAAAGCTGACACTGCTGCAGTTTTTTTTTCTTCTCTCCCCTTCAGGTGTAAAACCTGGGTCTTTATTCCTGTTGCTCAACACAGGATAAATCTTGCTTTAGCTCCCACCAAGGAAACTGGTTTCTATCATTTCACTGTTTTCTTCAATTCATCTTTCATTGACTCATTTATGAGGAGACTGACTCATCAAATGGGCTGGGCACATATCACAGTACACATATTGGGTAAAAAATGTTGAAACAATACTGTTCATCCTAACATTATGCAGGGGCAGTTTGATGTCTCTTGTAGAAATTGTTTGAGACAGGTAGATATGAGTCAAAACCATAAAGAGTTATGCAACTAGTGAGTAAGGAGGAACAGCTTTTTATGTGGTGGATATTAAGGATTAGGTTCCAGGAATCTTCTAGGATGAGACCGAAAGATTTTTCTTTTGCACAACAAAAAGTAAATAAAGAAAAATCTGAAATATTTTCCTCAATTGTGTTTAACTGAACCACTGTTTCAGGAATTAATAACATCCAAGAGCTCAGTCAGAAGATATTTTCTTCATTGTAGTGGGTTTGAAAGGATATTCTGGCTTTAGAGCCTTCACAGAGGCTGTGATTGAGTGCTTAAATGACAGAAAAGAAACAAGCACAAGCATGAAATTATGTAACTTGTAAAAAAAGTGTAAAAGCTCGGCTCTGGTGCAGACCTACCCAACATATGTTTTGAAACCCTATAAGCTTATGAGAGGCAAAAACATCAAAGTTTGGATGCAATGCTTGGAAATCAAAAAGAGGAAAAATCCCTACAAAAGAATTAAGGAGGTTACAGCTGACTCCCTTTTTCTGATTTCTTGTGTTCTTGGAAGCAGTTTCTGAGCATGAATCTGAAACATGTGTGTACAAAGTGAACCATAAAGATCCCAGATCCCCAGGTTTACATTTTCAAAAGGTGGAGGGCAGCACTTGAGTGTATGAACCTCATTACATTGAGCGCTTCAATGGCTTCACCTGAGTTAGACATCAGTCTTTCTGCTTGTTAGTTTACTCAACAGCCTTTCTTTTTGATTCCTCTTAAATCATTTAAGGCATACTCATATTTCTGAGTGTTTGAACAGAAATGTTCATACAACATCTGTTTTTTCAGCTTGATTGCATTTATTAAGCTGTGTGATTTTTTTGATCGGCTTCCCTTGAATCAAAATGAATAGTTCATATGGGGATTCTGCAGTGTTTACTTGTACTTTATCCCCATTTGACCTTACCTTCAACTGAATGGGGGATCTGCTTGATATCAAACGCTGTAATCCCAAGTGTGGTGCTAAAAAGAGGTATGTAAGAGTGTCTGTGTGATTAATGACTCTTCAAGGTGGTAGAAAGTGAAAGGGCATGTGCTGTCCCACAACATTTCTGAGGAAATTTTGACAGCTTATCTATACTGCTGCAAGTCATACTTACACAACTGCATTTGGCCTGGCTTTCAAGGCTAAAGTCGTCTCAATTGCCACTTGAGGCTATTCTATGTGAAAAATGCAAAAACAAACAAACAAACAAACAAACAAACAAACAAACAAACAAACAAACAAACAAACAAACAAACAAACAAACAAACAAACAAACAAACAAACAAACAACAGAGCAAAGCTAACATACCAGTGATAAGAAGGGGCAGGCAAACTACAAGTTGTGGAGACATAGTTTGATTTCTGTGTGTTAATGAGCCAAAAGTCATCATATGGAAACAAGACAACATCTGTGTCCGAATCCAGGGGCTGTATCTTCCATAGGGTGTGTTTGAAGACTGGTGGTGCACTGAAAGCAACCTCGATTTTTAAAGTCTCTATTGTATGGGGTGGACAGATGCCTCCTGCTTTTATACAGTCATATGCATTCCTTGCAACAAAATACATCCTATGATTCTTGTACCAATCCAAACAAGATGGAGGAATTTTAAAAAAATCCATGCTTCACTCTTATGTAATTATTTCAAGACACCTTGAAGCTTAAAATTAATTTTAAAATGATGCTGATGGTGGTTAAGTTACACGATGCAAGCTATGTGAGCTGGATTGTAGCCCTACCATGAATTGGGGCGCAATTATCATGTTGTATTTTATTGCAGCAAACCCATCACAGTTAAAGTAAATAGCTGTTCAATACAAGTCTGGCTTTTGCTTGAGGTTTCTCTTGAGGCACTCTTTCCTAGTGCAATTCCTAAAATCCCTAAAATGCAGTGTATTACTTTCACCTACCTCGCCTCTTATCAGGGTTTATGCTGTTGAAGAATTTTCTCCATGATTTGACTTAAACTTGGAAAGTTGTGTTGTTTTTCTGACAAGAGGCAATGAATTACATGAACACAAGCTGGTTCCACCGGTTATGACAACACATGAAAGATGTGGGGTTATATTAGCAAGCTATACTTTGTATAAGCTATTTAACAGACTCAAAGCACAGGTGAAGCTGTAGAAGTGATAGTGTTGGTGTTAGTTAGTGTTTTACACTTGCATGACTTAAATAAGATGATAACTCAATCACACCTCAGGTACACCATTTGTATGTTACTTACTTCACCTTTAATTAAGCAGTTATTAACCTGTTACGATCCATATCTTGTTTACAAGGGTGACCTGGCCAAGAGGTCAGCGGCTCACATCTTAATAAATGTAACATGACCAAGTGACAGATAACAGACAATAAGTCTGGAACTTATCAACAAACAAGAATCAAAAACATGCAAACTAGTTTGCAAATGAAACACAGAACCTGTAGGCAGAGATAAAAAAAAAGTCAAAACACAGGCACTGTTCAATATCCTGTGATTGAAGATGGAGCCTCAAGTGAGATGACAGCTGACTGTCACTTTGAATTCAATTCCATGCGGAGGGGGCAGTAAAACTAAATGCTTTTCCTTAAACTGAGTGTGAACGTGAGGATCAAAAAGATGGAAAACATCAGGAACACAAGGTGTCATGGCTTTAAGGGCTTTGGAGATATGTGCATAAATATAAGGAAAGTAAGTCAAACAGAGGTTTGTAAGTTAGACTTGGCTAATGTGTGGAGGTACACAACTTGGCCATCCATATGCAAGTAATCAATACCTGCATATGAATGGCTGGTCAGACTTAGCATTCAAGTTACAATGGCGATCACTCAGACCCACACATGGCAACCTCACAGGTCAGAGTTGGAGGATCAGCTCCTTTATTGTTTTTCATCTTCAAGGGATCATAAAGTCTCAAACCCCAGCCTTTTCTAGGAGTCCTTGTTCATCATGCCATAGGTTCCTCTGGATTGCTCTTGTAGATGATTTGCTGCTGCGGACCTGCCTGTTCTCCAGCTGCTTTAACTATGTCCAGTCTCACCATTTTTATCACTGTTACAAAGCTTATGTTCATTAATTAGCATCAGCCTTCTTTTCAATCCTTTCTGCTGCACTTATTCTAGTTCCAGCCTATTCTACTTACCTCAACTTCATTAATATGAATGCCATTAATATAGATCTATCTATCTATCTTTCTATTATTATTATTATTATTATTATCATTATGTGTCTGGTTATTCTCGGGGTTTCTGCCTGTAAAAGGAAAGTTTTTCCTTTCCACTGTAACTTTCTAACTGCTGTAAAGTATCACTTATGTGGGCAAAGATGGGATGGAAGTGGGTCTGATCTTAGAAAATCTGTCTCAATCTTGTCCCATCTTTACATTAGGTCTTTCTAAGTAGAGACTGGTCTAGACCAGCTTTTTTGTTAAGTGTCTTGAGATAACGCTTGTTTTGAATTGGCTCTATATAAATAAAGATTGATTGAGCCTCTCGTTGTTAAATGACTGACTGATTGAAAAAAGAAGATTGACATTGTTCCTTAAACCATATATGTAGTTTGTGCACTTCAATGAAACTACAATAAAATAATCCTATCATAAACACATGTCCCCTGCACAATAATGATCAAGTGTTCATCTGTTAATCAGGTTACTGTATGAACATACACTCACACACATAAAATCACAACTTATATCTGTGCTGTGACTCTGCTTTGAAAGGCTTAAAAGTGAAATGTTTTGAGATTCTTGAATCATAGCTCGGTGCACTGGAAGTATTTACATCATTTCCCTTCCCTGTCTGACTGATTGATGAAACCTTAATTAGAAAAAAAAGAGTGGAGGAGCAAATCCAGGGGGACAAGGAGGGGAGCTGAGTAAACAGAGCAAAGCAACCATTAGTCATCTCTCCCCTGAGCCCATTCACTTTTATTTAATTCTTAACTTACGCTGCTAGCTGGACAAACATATTCAACACTTTAATGTGACACTGCATCAGCAGCTACTTGTGTTTTAATTGAGTTATTCATAATAATTATCATCTATCCTTTCAACGTGAATGAAACTGGGTGACTTAATTAAAAACCACATGCAAATTACGAGCTGTAATTGCTGCAGAGATCTTTTGCTTGCGATTATTGTTTTAGTGTTATGTAAAGTGACTTATAATTGATCATCATGCATGCAGCATTAATCACCAGGAAAATAAGGTCATGTCCATGTTAATTAGTATATTTGTCACAAGCTCTTACTGTATTTCAGAAACAACCATATTTGGAGGGCTACTGCTGTGGTGTTTTTCCATAGAAAGACAGGCAATGATTTAATGTTTAATGATCTGTATTTAGGTAGAACAACAACATATCCCCCTATTAGAGTCAATCATTATCAAGACTTGGAAAATTCATTAGGTTGAGTTTATCGGTGCATCAACAATACATAAAACCAC